TTTGCATCTCTCTGTCTGCATCTCTGTTAGCTTGTGAATAATGTGGCATACAACATTTTGGAAAATTATTTGAAATGCAAGCACCCAGATAAGTTAACTCCATATGTATAAATTAGTAGTTTAGAAGGTCCATACTCTGTTTTAGCTTAAAACATGCATGGCTGAGATTGGCTGTAAAAAGTCAATTTTGTGGGCCAAGAGGTTCACCAGCGTTCCTTGGAAATTTCTCATGTATTTCACCGACAATGACAAACTTTACGGCTCTTTATGGACCTAGGTGAATTAAGCAAATGATGATATTCTGCGTAGAGATTGGAATGACAAACTGTGCATTTAGAAGCAACATATCAAGAAGAGTCTGCATGTAGGTTTTTTGTCATATTTTGGAACTTTCTTCATAGTAAACTTTACTTTCTCATTTATGCAAGATATATTATACTTGAACTTAGTATTAAATCATTAGCATTTACAGGTTATTAGTGCCACAATAAAAAATGTACTTATTGCATGTTTAAAAAGTTACTATTTTTTTTTGTCTTTTTCTTCTACAGAAAGGAATACCTTCCTGCTGCAAGTCTCCTGCTCCTAGTGTCCACTTTCCTCTGCAGTCCTAATTTGCATCCACAAACATCAAGAAATGTCACCAAAAGGAATACGTTACAGTGCTAAAATTAGGAAAGATTAAATGAGGACATGGCATCTGGAAGCTCCAGTACTCAGAAAACATCCTCTGCAGCTCTCCACAAAAACACACCCCACAGACAAACAAAAAGATTAAAGACAAAGACAAGATTTGCCACTGCTCAGAGTGTGGAAAGAGTTTTACTGTACAGAGTCAGTTCCGAAGACACCAACGCATTCACACAGGAGAGAAACCATATTACTGCTCAGAGTGTGGGAAGAGTTTTAGTCAGCAGGGTCATTTCAAAATACACCAGCGCATTCACACAGGAATAAAACCGTATCACTGCTCTGAGTGTGGACAGACTTTTAAAGAAAGTGGTAACCTTAAGATTCATCAGCGCATTCACACAGGAGAGAAACCGTATCACTGCTCAGAGTGTGGGAAGAGTTTTAGTCAGCAGGGTCATCTCCAAGCACATCAACATGTTCACAGTGGAGAAAAACTGTATTACTGCTCAGAGTGTGGGAAGAGTTTTAATCATCAGGGTCATCTCCAAGCACACCAACGTATTCATACAGGAGAGAAACCGTATCACTGCTCAGAGTGTGGACAGAGCTTTAGACAAAGTGGTTCCCTTAAGAAACACCAGCGCGTTCACACAGGAGAGAAACCGTATCACTGCTTAGAGTGTGGAAAGAGTTTTACTAGACAGAATACTCTCCTAATCCACCAGCGCCTTCATACTGGAGAGAAACCATATAACTGTTCAGAATGTGGACAGAGCTTTAGAGAAAGTGGTAACTTCAAGAAACACCAGCGCATTCACACAGGGGAGAAACCGTATTACTGCTCAGAGTGTGGCAGGTGTTTTAGAGAAAGTGGTACCCTCAAAACACACCAGCGCATTCACACAGGAGAGAAACCGTATGACTGCTCAGAGTGTGGAAAAAGCTTCAGACATTCAAATTTAAAGAGACACAAATGCATTAAGAGGTGCGTCAAAACAAAAACATGATTTTGATGATTTGGGGCAACCAACTTGGCCCATTAATTAAATTTGATTTTATTTGTTTAAAGTGCAAATCTTTAGTATATTTGTTTTTTCAAGATGCAAAGAAAATATGTATGCTCTAACACATATTGTTTGTTGTTTATGGCAGTAGACACAACAAGAAATTGCATACCAATTCTATTAAAGAAAAATGCATCTGAAGATTTTTTTTGTTTATTATGAATAATTGTCTCTTTGTCACTTTGATCCATATTTGGGAAGAATGGCTGAAGAGAAAGCATGTATCTTTATAATTGTTTTTTTCTACCCTCTGTAGAGAGAAGATTTGAGAACTGAAGAGATCTTGTAGATCTTTTAATATCATTGTAAGAGGACGTTCTCAATAGTCTCCAGATACAAGTCTCCACAGAAACACAGTGTCTGACTGAAGTGACTCCATCAGTAAGCTTTCCAAGCAGTTGAAGAGAAGTTGCTGTTTTCATGTTTCGTCTTCTGAGAATCAAGAAGTACATAGATTCAGGTCAGAACTACAGCATGCTGTTCTGAGTGAGAAGAAAACTACCCTGATTGAAACATCCAACTGAACTATCTGCTGAACAGTCATTTCTGTTATAATAGAAGACAATCATTGTTACGGTGGAATTCTACTATAGCAAAACTTCATTTTTTTCATTTATCTAAGAGAACCATCTGAGAGATTTGAGGAAAAGGACAAATCTACTTTCTATAGGTTTCATACTTAAGCTTTGGCATTTATACTTTTTCAGACAGTCACATGGGGTGGCAAAGGTTTAGTGAGCAAAGTCATTATTATTAGACACCCTTTGTTCAGGGATGCTCACTAGAACACTAGGTTCTGCTGGATTCAATGTGATCCATGATTGTGGCCAGTAACGAAAACAAAAAGGACAGCTGTGTGACCTTCAGTGGGGAATGAGTAGTTGGTTCAACAGCAGTGAAGCTATTGAAGGAACTTCCTGTCAAACACCTTAAAGCACACACCACAAACCCTCTGATGGTGATGGATATATTGTGATTTCATATATCTCTGTACCACAGCCTGCTAAAGATCATAACTATGATGACAGTGAAATCATTGATGAAAGTGACACAATCATCATTATCATACATCTTGTCTTTAAGCTAGAAAGGAAAGAAAAATTCAGGACAGACATCCAACATATGTAGTGAAGATGATCCTAAGGAGAAGGTCTGGAGCTGAATGTGAATGTGGTGCACATCTTCAGAAATTCATTGTCTAGTGGACATGCCTTGGAACATTCATTCAGGCACCTGAAAGTCTACTGCTATCTCTAGTGACTCACATCCCTCAATGTGTAGATAAAAACAAAAGTGATCCAGTTGTTCAGCATAGTCTGGTTGAATTGTCATTGTACAAACTCAACTCAGAGTGTCTTTCTTGCCCATAAAATGTCAATTTTTTTAGCAGCTCAGCATGTAGAGTTGGCAGAAATGGGAGGGGAAAACTCAGGGAGGACAAACAGTAACTCCTGGCTTATATGTTATGATACAGAAAGATTGCATACTTCCTTGCTTCAGTGTGTCCTTTGTATGTTGTTATATCTATGTATATCATGCATCGTTTTGTCTTTTACCATTTGCTTTATTACTAACTTTGTAATTTGTTTTACCATATGTGAGTGTATCTTGTCACATAATCTCAAGTAAAACTAAGATAAGCACTTAACTAACATTAAGTGTTCAAATGACCAGTTTTCAGTTCTTGTTATCTCCTTGTATAGCTGATTCTGAGACTATTTGATCCTGTTTGCCTGGTCTTCTAAAGCTTAAGTCTACCCCACTTTAACTGTAAGCTTTTCATACAATTTTACAACCTGTCCAGTGATGTCTTCCAGAGTCTACTCTGGTAGAAAAACTTCCAAGGTACCCACTGAATGAAAAGAGTAAATACCACCAAACAGATCTGAATATGCTACCAAAGGCTCAGTATACAATTCTGGAAAACAATTGTTGATATTTGAACTCAACAGCAAAACAAATACAATCCGCCCTTCAGAAACGTTGCCCTCATTGCCTATGACTTTTGCATAGAACTGTATATCGCTGCTGTCGTAAGAAAACCTGGTATGTCCATTTTTGTAATTTTTCAGTTTTTGAAGTTGTTAGTTTGTTATATATTGTGCGTAAATGGACAAAAAAGGCCCAAAACAACTTGGAAAAAAGTCTGGTCCCAACGACATACATTAAAAGTACAGTATTTTTTTTTGGTTTTTCTGTAAAGTTATAATTTTGGAGATACCAGATTTTCTTCCAACAACAGCGAGATATTGATTAACTATTAAACTTTTGAGCAAAGGAATCTACTGCCACACAGATGCTCACATTACTTTTTTTTTAAGATACTTTTACTTTACTGCAGTCATCATTTCACGGAAGTAACAATACTTGTCTGTGGATTTAGGCTACATTACAACTTGTCCAAATACTGCTGACAGACATCATTAAACTTTACAGCTGACTTTTACCTGCCTGTTTGTCCTCAGGTTTACAGCTATTCAAACACTCATATGAAGACTTTCAAATGTTAACCCACCAGTATGTTTTCAAACAAGCCAAAAGTTTCCTTTTTTCTACAGCAAATGGGTTTTGGGCAGCAGGATGTTAATGTTACTGAGTAACATTAATGAGTGCCGATTGGTTGGTGAGCGAATGCATGTTTGTTCAATGCACAGTATGTTTTGAATGAAACAGCTTAATTGATAATTGTCTACAGACACGCGCTGTCTGTAAACACAGTGTTGGTGTATAAATCGTAGGCTTTGTCCATACACTGTGGTCTATTCCAACAGTACGTAACAAGATTTCTAATATTGCACAGTGTCTGTCTGGGTTTAGAGGACATTCAGCTACAGCTCCACCAGCCAAAAAGACTCTCAGCAACAGGAAACTGTGATTTCTTGGATGCCTTAGACTCTGATGTAATTCTTCCTGCTGTAACTGTACTAGTAGTACTAAAAACATTTACGTGTGCTCAGTCTTAAAAAATAGTATTGATGCATCACTACATATTAGATATGTCACAAATCTCCATCCTTCTTTATGTTGTGAATGGGAAGTGGCAGGCGCCATTTTAAACTCCTCTTACTTTGAGTTTAAAAGCTCTAAATAATATAACAGCAGCGTTAAAATGTTTTATTCTTTTTATTCTTTTACATTAAAAATGTTTAAGCATTTATAAACCGATTTTGCTCAAATGCTCCATTCTAAGCCATTGATTTTGATTGATTCTCTGGCTCTAGATTTCGAACAAGTTTCATATGTATGACATAATTGTCTTACAACCAATCAAACCTCGTCTTTTTGAGCAGAATCAGGACACGCACTGAGGAATGACTGAAATAGCAGACCCCCCCCCCGGGGACGCTGCTGAGGGCGAAAAATAGAACGAGCTGCAAATAATCCGTTCCAAATGCACGCGTCGAAACCTGCCGCACTCCAGGAGCCCTGCGCTGTCTGTCTGGATCTTGTTAACATCACCAAAGTGCTCAGCTGGAGAAGACTTACGGCGCTATTTCGGACACCTCTTTAGTGCCCGCGCAAACAAAACCGAAAGTAAAAGTGCAACAGAGACAGAAAGAGAAGAAACGAGAGACCAGACACGCGGATTTAACGTGGCAAGTTAATGAATCATTTACGTGAATCAGTTATACTGGCGTGGAGATTGAAGTAAGAATATATATATATATATATATATATATATATATATATATATATATATATATATATTTGTTTATACCTAAAAATGCGTTCTTTAAAGTCGGTGCTGGATTAAACTTTAGTCTGATGTAGTAAATCTGAAAATGGCCGACACGCAAAGATAAACAGCAGAGTGGTTAAATGGCAAAATGTCTTTGAGTGAACAGGTCTAACACTTCCTGTATCACAGGTTTGTGCATGTATAGAGTATATTGGTAGTGTTGGCGGTGTTGGACACAGAGCGTTTTGGTTTGGCAGGGGTGGCCGAGGCAGATGCACAGGCTTAGTGCATGCCATGTGATCAAAAACTTGTAAATACAATAGTTTGACTCAGCCAGACTCTAAATATTTGAGCTGTTGTTTTGTCAGCCACATTGTAAATGAGGGTCACCCTCAATGTACTTCAGAGTCTAAATAAAGGTCAAAAAAGCCCAAATATGTAATGAGTAGAGTTGATGAATCCTATTTGAATAAAAACTGGAGAAATGTATTTTTTTTAATAAGCAAAATGAAACGTTTGGATTTGGGATGTGTAGGTGGTGGGCAGAAAAAAGTGAACTGCATTGTGGCAAACGCTATACCATGTCAGTCTTGGGGTACAGATCATCTCAGAGGCCTTAAGGGCACATCTAGCTAATTGACATAACAAGCTTAAGTAACATTATTCACTGGTGTCAAAGTAAAAAACATTAAAGCTAATGTTAAGGAACAGTGAGAGATAATTATGTATTTGGTTTTGTTTTAATTCCAAGCAAAAACAATTTAGCAAAACCATTAGAACAGATTTAGAACCTTGTTCGTGTTTCACTTGCTTTGAGCAATTCTCTAAAACATCAGCAAAGGAAAGTGTGAACTCATCCATGTTTCCATCTGCTACTATTATGAGAGAATTCTGAAGATGGCCTAACAAAAAGTGAGCTGTGTAATTAAGAGACTGCCAAAATATCCGCAGAATGACAGAAATGTTTAAGCCTGTATTGGTAGACTGGTTGTTTGTATGAGTGTATTACCAATCACAGTCCACAGCTCTGGGTCAGAGGTTCTATAAAAAACCAAAATGTCTTTATTTTGTTCTTTATTGAAATATGTTCTATCTCAGATCAGTTAAACCAGTTTGTAGGAGCAAGGTCACTGTGATTGAAAACCCTGAACTGGAGTCAAAAAATAAATGTGGACCTCTTGCTGCCCTCACCCCTCTCCAAAAATGAATAATAATTAGTGAGATTAGAGAGATGCATCAGTACTAAAACTGGTATCGTGCATCATCCTGAAACCATCCAATACCACCTGATACCGTGTGACATCATCCACCTTGGCAGATTCCCACCAGATTTATACTGTTCAATTTTTAGCTTGTTTTTAAACACACACAAACACAATCACAACCACTTCCCCACTACAGGTGGAGACACATAGGCTAGCAAAACAAAGGTAAAAAAGTAAATATTTGTGGAACTAAAGTCTGTCTATGCTGGCTTTACTGTGTTTGACTGAATAGAATTGCAAGGTACAAACATTAATACTGTGATTTTTTTTTTTTTTAAACTGTATTTGTAAAATAGGTTATAGAGAGACCATATAGTCCTATGTAGATCACCACCTGGTTTTGATTCAGTGAATAGTGTGGACCAAGTTAGCTAAGCTGCTTTAGCAGTGTACTTGTTCAGTATCCAATGCACAGCATGTTGTTTTGAATGAAACATCTTTATTCATAACTGTCTATAGATAGAGCTGTCTGTAAACATACAGTGTTGGTCCATAAATTGTAGGCTTTGTCCATACACTGTGGTCTATTCCAACATACAGTGTGAGTCAGCACATAACAAGATTTCTAAAATTGCACAGTGTCTGTCTGGGTTTAGAGGACATTCAGCTACAGCTCCACCAGCCAAAAGACTCCCATCAGTGGGAAACATGATTTCTTCAGATGCCTTGTCCTCTGATGTAATTGTTCCTGCTGTAACTGTACTAGTAGTACTAAAAACATTTACTTGTGCTCAGTCTGAAAGAAAATGGTATTGATGCATCACTACATATTAGATATGTCATAGATCTCCGTTTGTTTCCGGTGAAATGCTTACTCCCTGAAAAGCAGTATATAGGTGTCTTTGGATATGTGTGGTCAATGTGTTTGTACAAGTATTTTAAGCAACTGAAGAATGATCATCAAATCAACTCAAAGCTCAAATTTGAAATAGACAGATTTTTTTATTGCACAATGTTTCGATACATTGCTTCATATCCATATAGCAGTATCTTTTGTACCAAAATACACCAAAGTCAAAGTGATAGTTCTATCTCTGATCCCAGGTCAGGCATCACTTTGCCATTTCCTCACAAACTTTAAAATTGATGCAATGTTCCCTATTTTTGGGGGGAGAAAAGACCAAACTGAATTTTGATATTATTGTTGTTTAGTTATTATAGTTCCATAATAACTTATTTTCTTAATAAATTAACTGATCAGTTGTATTATTTAATAAAGTATTTTATGTAAAGTTCACTTCACTCTGCAGAAAATAATATTCCAGTGCTCTAATGATGTCTGTTGATGATGTATGTAAATATATAAAGAACATGATGCATGAAAAAATAGATGAAAAAGGGTTTCAGGCTGTAAACCACAAAAATAACAGTTTATATTAATGATCACTTTGCATCTTGACACCAAAAGGGATTTCACTGGATAAATAATTATATTAACATAATGTATCTTGTGTTTGCAGACAAAATTATAAAGCAATTAATCTATCTCTGTACAATTTTTTTTAGTCAACATCCAAGGAAATAGTTATGTGTGTAAGCTTAGCAATACTCTCTGTGTTAGACAGCAACATCCTGCCTCCCTCTGAAACCATTGATTAATTCTCTTTCTGAAGAGATTTAAAACTCTTTCTGAAGATGCATCTTACAACTTTAAGTGCTGTTAACTCAGTTTTACCTACAAACAACTCAAGTTTATTTATATTCAAACAAAAACCAGAAGCATTTGAAAATGCCTGAATAACAGCAAGAGTTAAGGAAAGGGTCTTGTATGTAAAAGGGATCATCCACCAGTCGGCTTAGGGCAATTTGCTTTCCAACAATGGAAATACCTTTCAAATTGCTGATTTGAATACAATAAGTTAGTAGCTCAGTGGCTGAGGGAATTAAACATGGTGAAAGCGGGCACCTTTGCTGTATTCCTCATTTTAATGCAAATCTGGGAATCATGCCATGTATAAGTTTAGTTGAACTGTTGCCACCGGCATATAATGCTATAATTTACCTACAAAAAAATTCCCCAACGCAAATTTGTGCAATACTTTAAAAAATATATATATGTTCAGTTGAACCAAAAGCTTCTTAAAAGTCCAGGAAAAGTATATAACTATCATAATGCACTCATTGTTTAAAAGACAATTTGGATGCCAATATCTGACACAGTTTATTCACAAATACATTACGGTGGTTATCAGGCTCACTGTGAGTAACTTCACCATACGGCATTTATACTAAATACAAAGAAGGAATTAAACCACAGAGCGGTTATTTTTGGTGTTTTGCTGGGTAGCTGTAGTCGTCGGACTGAAGGCTTCACCATCTCTGTAAGCTGCTAGAATTTGTGTGGCGTTCACATGATCTGTTGCTTGCAACTCTTTAAAATGAATTCATTTGAACTATTTTACTGTTATCATTTTAGATTATTTACACATATTATTAATATACATATTATTTTATTTATTTAGTGGACTGGTTTCCCGCCCTCTCCCGCATGCAACACTAAAAATTAGTCCCATGCCACAAGATATTGTGGCAGGACTCATGGGGCAGACCTCTACCGCAGACTGTGGTTCTTGATGTACGTGGAGTTTTTTGCTGCAGTCCACACAGCAGCCCTCCACATGTGTGAGGAGAACTGAGTGATGCCCATACACAATTAAGCTTCTTCACCCCAACTCGGTGTGCAGTGTCGATCACTTCTGGCAACTGCTCAGCTAGCTCAGGCAATAAATCCTGACTAATTCAACCACTTCTTTACTCACTTGTCTCATTTCTCTCAAGCACACTGTGTAGTTTGAGGTTTCATCATTGGGAATACCTCTTGTCTCAGTATGTGCTTTTCCAAAATGTCAGCACAATTTTTTTTCTTGGAAGTCTTGACTTGGGAAACTTTCCCTCTCACCTCATTCATCTCTTTGCGAGTCCATCTTTAACCTTTAGATCACAATTTGGGCAATAGTATTATGAATCATAGTCTCTAGTTCAGGGGTGGCCAATCTTGATCCTAAAGATCTACCACCCTGGAGAGTTTTGATCCAACGCACCTGGCTCTAATATTCAGTTGCCTCTGAAGGCCTTCAGTACCTGGATCAGGTTTGCTAGCAAGGTGGTAGATCTCCAGGACCAGGTCGGAGCACCCTGTTCCAATTAATCCAACCTGGTGTATACTTTTAAATTATCTGACAAGGAGGCTGAATATCTGATGTGGATATGTTTTGTGACATTATCATGAAAATATGCTTCTATCTGTATCTATTTGTAGACATCTTTCAGCCACCAGATGTCATGGTGGTTCAATGATTTGAATGCTTGAAAGATTAAATCTTTTTCTTTTTTCTTTTTTTTTGAGTAATGAGTGGTCTCAGAGCAGTGATCTGAAATGTTATGAACAAACACAAGTAAGAATTTGCATTTACAAACAGTGAAGAAGAAATACTGAATACAGACGCTAGTCACTGTTGCTCTGTCTAGGTGAACTTTCCACTGTTGACCTTTGGTCAACTTGGTAGAAGATATTCACACCATTACTGTTTGACCTTTAATGAAAGTGATATAATGACACTGATAAGCTCCAATCAGCTGAGTTCAGCTGTATTCTGGTTCAGTCTGGACTGAGACAAAGCATGTGCAGGTGTTCTGTGGGAGAAAATACACTATTGAAATGGAAATTAAGTGTCTATATTGGTGTTCAGTAATGTTTTCTCTTGTAGCTCTGCTGTAAATGAACATGGATGAAGATGGACTTGCACTTTCTCACTGAAGACTTCTATACAAACTTCAGAAAAGGTAACAGTGCTTTCATTTTATCAGATATTACCATAGTCATCTGTAGTCATCTGTTTTTCTGTCTGTATAACCTTCAGTATGAAGCAGCTTTTCAGACTGAAAGAGAGCAAAGAGGTGAAATACTTGATAAAGGAGGTCCTGTAGTCGTGCATTGGTGGATAAAGATAGTTCTTGTATCAACAGCAACAGTGAGTTCATGTTTGTGTTGTGTGGATTTCAGTAATAGTAACATACCAAATGTAAAAGCAGATCACATTTGACCGGCAGTGCTCAATTCTGAATGATAGATGGGTGAAATGTTGCTGATTCAATGTTGCTGATAGCTAATTCAATTAACTATTAAACAGGAGTTTATAACAGTTTCCCTGTGGGCAATGGAAAGAGAAGAAAGAGAGAATACATCAAGATGGCTGCAGCTCTTCCAAGTTAGGGTACGACAAAGATTTGTTTATTTTTTTGTCATGATGCTTGACAGTAATTAAGCTGGGAGCTACAGCACTCAAGGGCATTTGATTCACAGTTTGAAAGAGGAAAACGTACTATGAGGCAGGGGTGCTGTGAAAAAGTGGTGATTCACATAAATAACAGTGTGCCCTTTCTGTTTGTGAATTCATCACTTTTAGGCTTGTGCTGCATGGGTAAAGTGCAGTTTATGGTGTTATTTGGTTTCCTTGTAAATTCGCTTGGTGTTGGTACACTGCTGTTTGTTAAAGTTAATATTTTGCGGAACTTCTGGGATTAGTACATCCAGGTGATGGGGTATCTGGTGAATGCATACTTCTGATTGGTTAAAAAGGAGGGACTTCAGGTACATGTCGGTGTGTGGCTTGATGACGTGGCATGTCTGATTGGTCCGTTGGACCTGTCAAAACAGTTTGATGAAATGTTTCCCCTATTTCTCTCTTGTACAGATTATCTACAGTGATGTAGAGAAGACAATTCATGTCTGAAATGTCTGTATTTTAGATAAAAATGTAATTCAGTTACTGAAGTAGTTCTCTTATAAATAACTTATTTTCTCTAATTTCTTTTAATACTATTTTTTCTTGTATTCAAGTAAATTATCACTACAGTATTCTCAGTAATAGTAAACTCTTTTATGTAATGATTTTCATTACTCTTTCCACTCTTTCATTACTCTTTTCACTCTTTAATTCCTGGTTATTTAGATAGGTATTTAGGTATTTATTTTTATATTGACATCTAATGTATTATCCTACACTGAGTGTTTTAACACACTGTACATATTTTTATGGACAAACTGTTTACAGGAGCAGTCTAGCTGTGTGTGCACGAAGAGTAAAAACTCTATGATGGAGCCTCAGAACACCAGCAGTTGGAGACAAACCTCTGACCCAAAGTGAGTAACATTCCATCAGCACTTAAGCCAAGAAAACAAGAAAATATATGTAAAATTCTGAAATAAAGAGAAAATACTGTTTATTTCTCTGTTTGAGTGAGTTTAAAGAGAGTATTTACACACCTCATGATGAACTGCTCTCAGGATTAAGCATGTAGGAACTCCAGAACCCAGCTGCATGTCTATGAAGAGTGACCGGTCCATGAGGGAACCTCCTAAGTTCAGCACTGGAGGAGAAGAACCCAGCTGTGTGTCTTTGAAGAGTGACCGGTCCATGAGGGAACCTCCCAAGTTCAGCACTGGAGGAGGAGAACCCAGCTGGGTGTCTTTGAAGAGTGACTGGTCCATGGTAAAACCTGATGGTTTCAGCAGTGGTGCCCTATCCTCTGACCCAGAGTGAGTTATTATTCTTCAGTCTGGTACTGATGAATAATGAAGCAATAGTTAAAGACTAAAAGAAGTTAAAGACTTAATAGTTAATAGTTAAGACTAAATAGTTAAAGACTTTAGAAAATAGAGCACACACACTTCCTGATTTTCCAAGACTCTGATATTAACTTACCCTACAAAGTGCACCTGTATATTGGTACAAACAAGGTGAATCAAGTAAACTGGCAACACAGGGTAAGACACTTGAAAGCAGTCTGTTACTAGCCATTTAATTTTCACCAGATTATAATAGTCATGTGTATATAATGTTTGTGTTACTGTGCTTGACCCCCATCAGGAAGTGTTCCACAGAAACAGCACTGCAGACCCACAATCTGTTGGAGAGGAGTGGAGAACTGCAGGATTACCAACCAGTGGATGACATCCTGCATGAAGTCTTAGAGAGACATAAAACTAACATGAAGAGCAAATACAAGAGCTTATTTGAAGGAAGAAAAACAGAAGAGAATAAAATTTTCCTGAACAGGATTTACACACAGCTCTACATCATAGAGGGAGAGAGTGAAGGCGTGAATGAAGAACATGAGGTCTTACTGTTGGACAAAACAGTCAGGACACACCTACAAGACACTCCAATCAACTGTTTAGATATCTTTAAATCTCCAACATGTTCTGATGTAGATGTGATAGAAAACAGTATTACAGCTGTGATGCCTAAAAGTCGCAGACACAAAGAAAAAAAAGATGAAGAATTAAAAGCCCAAAAGCTCAGAACTGTCCTGACTAAAGGCATTGCTGGCATTGGAAAAACGGTCTCTGTGCAGAAGTTCATTCTGGACTGGGCTGAAGGAAAAGCTAATCAGGATGTAGATCTAATGTTTATGCTTCCGTTCCGGGAGCTAAACTTGATTAAAGATGATCAGTACAGTCTTCATGGAGTTCTGTGTGACTTCCATCCTGAGCTCAAAGATCTGGACTCAGAGATTTATGATCAGCTCAAAGCTGTGTTTATATTTGATGGTCTGGATGAAAGCAGAATTCCACTGAACTTTGAACAGTGTGAGAAAGTATCTGACATCACCATGACATCATCAGTGGGTGTGTTGATGACCAACCTCGTCAAAGGAGAGCTGCTTCCCTCTGCTCTGATCTGGATAACCTCCAGACCAGCAGCAGCCAATCAGATCCCTCCTAAATACATCAACCGTGTGACAGAAATTCAGGGATTCAGTGACCCACAGAAGAAGGAGTACTTCAGAAAGAGGATCAGTGATGAAGACCAAGCCCATAGAATCATCTCCCACATTAAGACAGTGAGGAGCTTACACATCATGTGCCACATTCCAGTCTTCTGCTGGATCTCAGCCATTGTTCTTCAGCAAATCATAAAACAGCCTCATACAGAAATCCCTAAAACTCTGACTGAAATGTACTCACACTTCCTTATCACTCAGACAAACATGAAGAATGAGAAGTATGAGGAGAAAGATGAGAGAGACCCAAAGAACCTGCTGGTGTCCAACAGAACCGTTCTTCTGAAACTGGCTGAACTGGCTTTCAAACAGCTGATGAAGGGCAATGCGATGTTCTATGAAGAGGACCTGAGAGAGAGCAGCATTGATGTCACTGAGGCCTCAGTGTATTCTGGGATTTTCACTGAGATCTTTAGGGAGGAATGTGTGCTTCACCAGAGGAAGGTCTACTGCTTTGTTCATCTGAGCTTTCAGGAGTTCCTGGCTGCTATCCATGTGTTTCACTGCTATGAGAACAAGATCATGGACGAACTTGAGTTTTTTAAGCTACCAAACACAGAGAGGTCTGAGAATGTTCCACTGGATGAGTTGCTAAAGGAAGCAGTGAATAAATCCTTAAAGAGTAAGAATGGACACCTGGATCTTTTCCTCCGTTTCCTGCTGGGCATCTCACAGGAGTCCAATCAGAGACTCCTACAAGGTCTACTGACACCCACACACAGCTGCACAGATAAAACCATGCAGTATATCAGGAAATTAATCAAAGGAGATGAAAGCAAACAATATAATACTGACAAATCTCTTTCCAGTGAGAGATCCATCAATCTGTTCCTCTGTCTGTCTGAAATGAATGACCAGTCTCTCTCCAGAGAGATTGAGGAGTATATAAAATCAGATCAACACTCAGAGGAGAAGCTCTCTCCTGAACAATGTTCAGCACTAGCCTATATGCTCCTGAGCTCAGGAGAGGAGCTGGACCAGCTGGACCTGAAGAAATACAACACATCAGAGGAGGGTTATAGGAGACTAATCCCAGCTGTGTCTGTCTGCAGAAAAGCTCTGTGAGTGTTACATCAAAATTAATATCAGTTACAAGATAAATAGAAGATATGTTTTTTGAAACCTACTTTGGAGACCCAAACTTTCTGGTGTGCAGTTAGAATGTAGTTGCATGTATGTACAGTTTGTATTAGCCATCCTCAAGACCTTCATCAGTTATCAGTTTTTGACCACAGAGCTGCTCTTGTCTGGATATTTTTTGGGGGTGGATGGTCCACTTTCAATCTAGCAGTGACAATCTAACAACACTGCTGTGTTGTCATACAGTAATACCTATTCTCTGAATTATTGCTGTGCTGAGAATAGACCACAGCCCAAATAATATCTGGACAAAAGCAGTCCTATAGTAAGTAACTGATCAGTGATGAATTCAGCAGAGGGGGCTGATAAACTGTGCAGCAACAGATAGGCTACAGTCTCTAACTTTATCTATATAATATACACCTATTAGGTGAGCCCATAACATGGACACAGAATTTACAGCCAGCATGGGTAATTTTAAAGCCTTGTTCTTTACATCATACTATATGCAGGCAAGCAGGTTTGCTCATAGTTCAGAGATATCTCACTCCAAACTGCAGTGTCATTACCATTACAAAGCTGGGAAAATAATTTGCTTCAGTAAATAAGGTAGATGTGCAATAATAATACACTGTAAATGTAAAATTAAAAAAGTAGAGTAAAAAAAGTCTTAGAGACCATCTTTTTACAGTGATACTACAAATTCATATTGTGTATGAGTTACATGAACAAGATTCAAAATAACCTACATATAAATTTACTGTAAACATATATTATGGGCCATATCTACTAAACGTTACAGCATTTTTTTTCAACATTTAAAAAAAAACTTTCTGGGGCATTTGTGAGCTGGAGGTTAGGGAACCTGCCTTATGACTGGAAGGTCGCCAATTCGATCCCTTGAGCCAATAGTACACAACTGAAGTGCATGTGTATGTAGGTGTTTCACTGCATGAATGGGTTAAAATGCAGAGGTGGAATTCTATTCTATATTCTATATTTTATGAATGTGCGTTTTAAGGCATTGATGGGTGAGGCACAAAGATAGGGGAGGTGACTATGTAAATTAACAACCTGAAGTGATTTACTAACCTAAAATGGCCCATTTCAATCCAAGAAGAATGTCTTGATAACGGCTGAATGTAAGATCTAAGAATTTATCTTGTTCAAATTTATAATTAAAAATAAACTTCTTTCATCTGATCAATTTTTAAAAAGCATATAATTCTGTTTCCGCAAATGTCCTCCAATTCCCTCAAAAAGAATAAAAAGTTGTTTTTTTTTTAACTTTTACTTTGAATTTCCCATTAGCAATTTCCCTACAATAAACATGTTTTATTGAATTCATATGTAAAAAATAAGTTCACAACCAGTAAAGATACGTTAACTTGGTCAGAAGTAAAAAGAGATTGAGATTGTTTATTGTTCTCACTAGTGCCTTCTCTGTACTATGATTAGGCCTAAATCAGACTTAAATTTTTCATGAGTGTGATTTCTATGCAAGTAGTTGTTGCGCCACAGCTTTTTCCAAAACGTTTGGTAATAAGGAAGATAGCTCACAGGTTAGGGTCCTCAATCAGAGGTTTAATTACTGCAAATTTAAGACTTTTTGGTATACAGCCAAGGCTAAGAGAAGCGATTATTATTGATAATAGAAACTTCATCATTTCTATTAACATGTCTTTGAATAAATGAGTAGGAATTGGATGTAATAATAAGTATAAAGTTTTGAGAAAGAAATCATTTTAACTACCTTTCTCTGTTGAAGAAAGCTAAAGGATTCCAGTCTCTGTTGTAGTTACACTGTAGAGGATATACAGGATCTGAATTGGCTTTGTAGGACAGCAGTTTTGTAGGGGTTAACTGTGCTGATTAAATTATTTGAATTAAAATTTATTCAACTGTATTATTGACAAATCATTAAATGATTGCTGCTGTAGTCTGATAGTGTCTGGAGTTCAGTAGCTTTTTGGCTCGTAGTTATTTAGAAATTTTGCTAAATAGTAATGTAGGATTATTCTTACTGCTTTTAATGACTGAAGAGAGGTTGAGCATGCCGCATTATGTACCATCTGTAGTCTATAAAGCTGTCCTTCCAGGCAGATTGAAATGTTTCTAATTTAGCTAGGTACTATTACATTTCAGCTGCCTGACAGTGTTTTAAGTGTTTGAATATGATTATTGTACCATGTGGCAAGTTTTTTTGTTGTTGTTGCCTTATTGTTTTACTTCTTAGTGGAACTACATAATGTAAAGTAGATAAAAGTCCCAAAGAGCAGTCTGGATTACACAGGAAGCAGTTGCAGTCTGTCTTTCACAGGTCACAGCGTGGGTGCATACCTGTCTAAGGAACAAGGAAAAGAACTGATGGTAACTAATTCTTTAACTCTGGAGCAACTTGCTGGTGGCAAGTGGCCTGGTCCTCTGCCCTCTTTTCGTCACACTCACTGTCAACGCTGTATTCACTGTGTGTTTGTGCCTTTGTTGACTCACGGTACTGCATTCAGCTGCTTTTTCTCTCTCATTACAAACAGGCCCCTTTTTTATTGCATGTGGAAGCCCTGCACTTCATCTGCATGCTCTCCACACCGCAATCCTTGTAGCCAATTGCTTCTTACTTCCTCACTGCAGTGCACTACTAGGAAACTGTTCACTTAACAATTGCTGACCTAAACCCCATAAAAAAAAACCCCAAAAACCTGTAGGATGATCTCAAGAGCAGAGTCAAAAAGAGAGAACCTAGTACACTAATGAACCAGGAAAGACTCTGTATATAGGAGGAGTTCCAGTTTCCTTGCTCTATATTTTCCATCAAACATTTTAGTAGAGGACTTCTAGCTCTTGTCAGATTAATGTTAAACAAAAGTCTAAATGGAAAGGTCCTGATAATTGTGACACATGGTTTGGTTAAAAATATTTTTGATACCAGTTTTTGTTGTCCTAAACAAAATTGACTTTTTTTTTTACAGTTAGATTTATTTCACATTTTCAGTGTGACTTTTTACATGACCCTTACTCATGCTTAACAAAGGTGATAGTAGTGATAGTATATTCTCTGCTTCATCCATGTGTTCTCACATACCATGTGAATTACAGCCATTATTAAAGTAATTGCACATTCTTCTCCTTGGTGTTAAAAAAGTCCATGTTAGTAAATCACTCTACATTGTTCATTTGGTTGTACATTTTTATTAGAATATATTGTGATTTGCAGACTAGCTGGCTGTAATCTCACCAAGGACTCTGGTATGCATACTTTTAGATGCCAATGCAAATTAGCTCATGGAGAGTATTGTCACTGCATTCCAATTAAACTGCACCGTGTACTGTATTTACTCTGCTTTTACAGACTAGCTGGTTGTAATATCACCACAACCTCATGTGAAAAACTATCATCATCTCTACAATCAGCAAACTCTCCTCTGAAAGAGCTGGACCTCAGTAACAATAACCTGCAGGATTCAGGAGTGGAGTTGCTCTCTGCTGGACTGAAGAGTTCAAATTGTAAACTGAAGATACTCAGGTGAACAGTCTAGAAATTCATTATTGAATGGAAAAATACAAATGTTTCAAAAGATTTCCTAGTTCAGCATTATACTGCATATCTTAGTAGAACTGTCTTATAACCAGGCGTGAAATTGGGATTTCAAATGTGGGAACAATATTGTTTAATTTGTTATTTTTTGGAGTATTCAGCTTCAACAGATAGAAACAGTTTCATTAAAATCTCTTATCATAATTAGTTATTAATTTTCATCAAAATTATATCAAAGTATTTTTGTGACCATGATGACAGTCATACTAAAGCTTTTTTGAACTAGCAAAATGAACCGTTCCATACAATGCACCCAACCTCCCTGTTCATTCTAGTTTTGTGCTCCTCCTGTTTTTGAGAGACAATAGTGTTTGGTGGTAGAGACAAAGCAGTTTATCAGGAAAATTTGTTATGCATACTACCATGAGTTCAGTGCCATTTAATCACATTCAGAAACAAACTACTGAAAACCCCATCTTTCCTATCTAACATAACCTTTTAACTGGAGTTCATTGCAACATTATGTTACAAACACTGGTAACCAGATAGCTTCATGCAAACGTGCCTTATGAGTACAATCAGCAACAGTCAGTCAGTGAAACAGTAAGCTAAACATCATAGTTATGCAAAGCTGTCAAATTTAGTAAATACATTCAACTTACATGATACAACTGTACTGTATGAATAATTTTAGCTACCAAAGTTGTGACAATTTTATAAAATGCTGGCAATGTCACAAAATTTCATTCCAAGGTGACGCTGAAGATAGCTTAGTGTGTTTTTGTTTGTCATCTATGGTGTGTCAAATCCAATCGCTTGGAACAGGGAACAGTTACTCAAACACAGGGACAACATTTCACCTGAAATCATCCCAGATTTTATTCCAAAACCACTAGAGATTTTGGAAATTCATACAATGAGTCAACTGGCTCTGCTTGACCTGGAGAGGAGATGAAGGAAGGCATGTATATAGGTTTTTTTCTGTACCATCTTAATTTTCTTCAATGTATGATTCCTATGCAAAATGCAATAAAATAGAAGAAATACTTCCTCCCAGCATATTCAACATCATCTTTCTAAATATCAAATAACATGCTGCATCTACCCAGCTTCCAGAAACATCTGTGGAGAAATTCTTGGTTTCTGTTAACTCCTCACTCTCCTGTCAACCAAGACATGTGGTGCCATTTTGGGACCCTGGCACTCACTGCACCAGAGACACTGAGGTTTCAGTGGATCACCTCCTGGGTCCTAGTGCATGCTGCAGGGCATGGTCTCCAACTTGGATGATGGTCTTCAACTCCCAATGCACAGGTGCTACAATGTGCAAACTAGGGAGTATACTAGGGAGTATGGGTTTTGTGATCAGACTCAGGAATAGGAGGGTTCCACTGCCTCGAGAGGGCATCAGGCTTCAGGTTCTTAGTCCTAGGTAGGTAAGAAAGAATGTAAAGAATGAATGTTTAAAAAAGGACCCATCTGAGCTAGCTTGACCACAAACAGTTCCTGATTCTTGACTTGACTGATTCTTGCGTGCATTCCATGGGGGAGTTGGTGCAAGAAGACAGCAAATGGATGGAGATTTTGGGTGGGGCCAGATCCTTGTGATACAAAGTGCACACCCCAACATTGGGAACATCCACTTCATCAATGAACTGTGAGAAGGAGAATGTTCAAAGTCAACAAATGCCTTGATTTTGCGTTTTCTTCTTGTTCTATTGGCCCAAAAAGATCATTGCATTCAGGAAAATCAAAGCATTTATTGACTTTGATAATTGGCCTTGTCACAAGGCCAACAGCCTGGAATGAGCCCTGGCCTTTAACAACTCATGGCAGGTGGTGCAGAAATGCACAACACAGGGGTACAGACACCTATTTTCCTTCATGTGAGTCTCACAATTTTGTTAGAAGAGTCAAGAGTGACCTAGATCTAGGCTCCTCAGAAGACACAGGATGAGTGTGCCTTGCAATGCAAGCCTTTTCCTAATGTACATAGTTCTTTTCTAGATACAATACCAAAACTAAGCTATGTTTGAAATTCACACAATGTGCCAGGAGCTGTGCCCTTGTGCACTGCAGCCTAATTTAACCCTTGCCTATCATAAACACATACATAAAAATACATAAAATAATATGTAAACATTATTGGTTTTCCTGCATTCAGGAATGCTCTTTATTGTTATATTGTAATTCCTGCTGTGAATTAAATTGTATAACAAATATTCACCTTAGATCTAGGTAGGGATAGGTTTGTTGTTTTAAATGGGTTTGGATGAAGTATATAAACATGTGGTGTATTTATTTGTACATCCCAATACAAAGTAGTTAATTGAAAGAATTGTTCCTTCATTCCAATTAAACTACACCATGTACTGTATTTACTCCACTTTTACAGACTGGTTGGCTGTAATCTTACCACAACCTCATGTGAAAAACTATCATCGTCTCTACAATCAGCAAACTCTCCTCTGAAAGAGCTGGACCTCAGTAACAATGATCTGCTGGATTTAGGAGTGAAGCTGTTATCTGATGGATTGAAGAGTTCACACTCTAACATAGAAATACTTAGGTAAATATACTGAAAATTCTTTTTTGAATTTTGAAAGTAAAGCTGATGAGGCACAATCAGTAGCTTGGAACACTAGTGGCATTATTTGTGATTTCATCATTAAGTAAGTAAGTAAAGTTTATTTGTATAGCACTTTTTACAACAGGTGTTGTCACAAAGCAGCTTTACCCAAAAAAATCAGCATTACAGAAAGAATTCTGGGATGGGTAGCTGTTCAACTCGGCAAAGGAAGGAAAACACACAGAGAGTTAGAGAGTATTAACTACATATGTTTTTATTATTTTACTGAATCTCTCATCTAATCATCCAACAATGTGTTGTCTAAACAAAACATTTTCTCTTATTTTATTTACAAGCTTTTCTTTGAGAATGTTGTAATATCTACTCTGATTTTTCTCTCTTTTCAGACTAGCTCATTGTAATCTTGGGGGATTAGCTTGTGAAAGTCTGGGATCAGCTTTACTATCAGCAGACTCCTCCCTGAAAGAACTGGACCTCAGTAACAATGATCTGGGGGATTCAGGAGTAGAGCTGCTTTCCGCTGGACTGAAGAGTTCACACTCTAAACTGGAAAAACTCAGGTGAGCTTACTGTAAATTAGATCTTAAATTATAAAGGCTGTGATGTTCACCGATCTTCAGAGATGAATATTGTTGATCTGATAAAACAGACTTTTTTCAAACACCTCCGAAAAGACAGGAACTATTGGGCCTTTTTTAACAAGGTGGGAGGAATTGAGAGTTTGTGGGTGATTGTCTGTGGAATGTGGAAGAATGTGTATACACTTACAGCCAAAATGTCAATGTGTCATTTTTCTGTCATAGCACAACCCATTTGTCTGTAACACAGTGTTAAGTAAAAGATATACATAAGGTCACATGAAACATATATAAGCTCTTCATGACAACTGACAAATCTACATAAACATTTTACTATCCATCCCCTAAAGAGTGGTCAATCAGCTCTGACACAGATCCATTATATTATGCCTTAACTAGTTCTCATACATTAAAATATGATCGATCTGCTCTGACACTGATCCATTAAATATGACCAATTAACTCTGACAGTGATACATTAAAATAAGGTCAATCTGCTCTGACAATAATGCATTTAAACTGTTCATGAACTTTGATACTGATCAAAATATAAACCAGTTGGCTCTGATGCCAATCCATATTGTTTGATAGTTTGGCTGTTATAATCCATTAAAATATGCTTCAGTCAGGTTTAATAATGATCCATTGTCACAACTGGATCAACACCATGACAAATAATATGGGAGCACACAGGGAATTATCACTACAAAAAAACATTAACCTTTAATTAAGTTTCAGAATAGAACAAGTCCAGAGCAACCACCAAAATCACATCATGGCATTCCTCAATGAGCTTGTTCTTTCTGCTGCATAGAGATTTTGCCTGAGAAATAGAACCCAGTATACTCTGTGTATTCTATGTTTCTTCTGAGTTTTAATAGAGATCTCAACAAAGTTTTGCATTGTGCTTAACATTTGCCAAAATAATAACTGAACTAAAGACAGGAACTCACCCATTTCTCATTTAAGACTAGGCACATTCTCATTTTGAATGCAAATAATAACTATTCTGAAATATTCTGGGTGAAAAGAATGTCATGTCTCCTTTTCATCTAGCGCTATTTTTTTCTCACTTCTCAATGAATTTTAGGAGAATCACATTTAAGTCTTCTGAGTCATGAAAGCGCAACATTCGGGCAATAAAATGTTCCTCTGGAAAGTTTTTTGAGCAAAGAGCAGAATTTCTGTTTATGTTTGGAACAGTGTTCAGACCAAATAAATGGAAAATAAAGCCGTTCTTAGAGGAAAGAAAAATAAAGATCTCCTTAATATCTTGTAGTAACATCACTTAGTTTCTCCAAGACATCAAAATAAGTTGAAAAACAAAGCAAAAGAAGACTTCTGTTTAAATCTCCTGCTGTTTAAGTCTCCTGCTGCTGTCACAATGGTGGCTAGGCCAGTGGATCACGCCACAGCTGGTTCTCCATTTCCCCACTTAGCTGGCCCCTACCACTGGGCCAGAGTGTCTTGCCTCTGCAGCTGAACAGGGGACAGTGCTTGGCCTTCGCCATGGCCTGGGCTCTAGCCCTGGCTGTCACCATGACCCAGGCTCTGTCCTTGGCCCAGGTTCTATCCCTCACCCTCGTCCTGACCCAGGCTCGGTCCCTGGTGCGCTCCCTGAACTGGGATCTGTCCTTGGCCCTCACTGTGAATGGACTCCTGTCGCTCCTATCCCTACTGTCAGTCCTGCGCCTTGAGAGCTGTGCCTTTTTCGTTCCATCCCTCTATCATTACACACACCTGCAGCTCATTCTATGGACTCATTTACAGAGGTCTCAGCTGTGTTTCTTTAAGTAGTGTGTTTTTGTGCTTGACCCTTACCTGTTCACCAGATTTTGTTAAAGTCAAGGTCCCCAATTTTTTAATTTTGAATATAAACCGGGATTTAAAGTTTATTTGCTCCCTTTCAATTAAAAGTGGAGGTACACATGCTTCACTTGCTCTAATGCTGGACATAGCTTGATTTTCCTTTTATGACAAAACTCTGTAGATATTTAATCTAAACAGAATCAAAATTTTAACGTTGTAATTAGTGTGAAGCAGCTTTCAGTTTTGTTGTTTTTTGATCAGAATGTTCAGAATGTATATTCCACAGAATTTGGTACTTGCTTGTTTGTACTATACTGCGGGTGTTTTTTTTTTTTTTTTGCTCTGTGTAAGTATCAGCCATCCCCCTTTTTCCTTCCTTTCTGCAGATTGTCTGGTTGTATGGTTACAGTTGAAGGCTGTTCTTCTTTGGCTTCAGTTCTGAAATCAAACCCCTCCCACCTGAGAGAACTGGATCTGAGCTATAATCACCCAGGAGAGTCTGGAGCAAAACTGCTCTCTGATCTACTGGAAGATCCACAGTGCACACTGGAGAAACTACAGTGAGTTACTGTTGTGTGTGTGGGTGTGTGTGTGGGTGTGTGTGTGCATTATTGAAATACTTATTTCCCCCACTGTGTATATACAATGGGGTCCAAAAGTCTGAGACCACATTGAAAATCAGATATTTGTTTTATTTAAACCTAGAAATAAATAATATTTTTAATAAATAAAGAATAGTTATTACAAGTACAATAAACAAGAAATTTTCAAGATTCTGCATTACTGCTTTTTGACTGTTCAGTTGCAAGCAAATTTGTAACATTGCACATGTTAAGGTCTTTTACAAATAGATTTGATGTCAGGGCTGTTGAACTATTGAAACAATTAATCATGATTAATCACATTCTTTTGTGTAGTTAATAGTGTTTAATAAATTTTATTTTGTATTTATTATTTTCACTAAATGAATAACATTATTTTTAACAGGTCTGTGCCAGATTTCTTCTGCAAGTCATCCAACATCATATTTCTATACCTCTTGCAATACTTTATACAAAGAGCAAAACTTTATACAACACATTTTCATTCGCTTAAGTGTAGATGTATTTCTTTTTTTCTGATGGGTCTGTCTGCTTTTACTATGAATTTAAACCATTTTTGGCAGTCATGCTTGTATGAATTCTATAAATAATTTAAAAACTTCTACAGACAGTTCTAATGAATTTTGTCTATAACGTGATTGCTTATTATTAGTGTAATAATAAAGTATGTCTATTAAGATCAACAAAAAATGTATTCCAGTCCAATCATTTGCCTCTTTATTGTAGACAGGTAGATTAACAACCTGTGTGTGTGTCTTTCCTTCTTAGGGTGGATCATGGAGGAGAGATCAGGATGAAACCAAGACTAAAGAAATGTAAGACATGCGCACACACATAAACACACACACACACATACACAGATACAAAAAGCCTTTTTGTGTTTTGTCTTCTAAATTGTGTGTGTGTGTGTGTGTGTGTGTGTGTGCAGATTCCTATGATCTCACTCTGGATTCAAACACAGTGCATACTCATCTCTTTCTTTCTGAGGGGAATAAAAAAGTGGAGCGTGTGGGAGAAGATCAGTCGTATCCAGATCATCCCGACAGATTTGAACACTGTTATCAGGTTCTGAGTGTGGAGAGTCTGATGGGATGCTGTTACTGGGAAGCTGAGTGGAGTGGGAGAGGTGTTGCTATAGCAGTGTCATACGAAGGAATTAGGAGGAAAGGAAAGAGTGAAGAATGTGATTTTGGACGCAACAAACAGTCCTGGAGTCTGTACTGCTATAATAACAGGTACTGCGTCAGACACAATAAAAAGGAAACTCTTCTACCTGCCCCCCAATCCACCTCTAACAGAGTAGGAGTGTATCTGGACTGGAGATCTGGCACTCTGTCCTTCTACACCGTCTCCCCTGACACACATACACTGACCCACCTACACACATTCACCACCACATTCACCGAACCACTCCATGCTGGGATTAGGGTTTGGGGTTGTGTGCGTGTGTGTGAGGCAGAATAGCCTGTATGGTTACTACTGCCTTGTCAGTGCATTTATGTGTGCGTCCCCTTTTTCTTCAGGGAAACTTCACAGGATCAGTTTGAAAACGTTAAATATTGTTAAAACTCACACACATTATTATGTGCACTGGAATTTGAGTGTGTGTTTGTGTTATTGTCCTCTAAAGACAGCATATGAGTCCAAATAAAGAAAAAAGTGCTTATTCTTCAAAATGTATTCATTGTTTATAAGTGTTATCTGTGAGCACTCTGCACATGTGCTTGCTTTGTCCCCCATATTTTCTGCTCCTTTTTTTAACTTATTTCTCACCCACTTACAAAGTTTTGACAAAGATTGTGACATTCACCATTTTTTTCTTATTTGGGAATTTATTCTTAGGTAATCTACAGAATCTACATACATTTGAGTCAAGGTGTAAACAGTTCTGCAGTTTAAGAACACATCATGAACCTGATGTAGACTTTTTTAAGGATGTTTGTCTAAAGCAAATTTCAGGAAAAAAACTTAGTAAGATATTAGTGAATGAGGCCCAATGTCTCTTGAGCAATTAGAGCACAAGACCAGGCTCAAAATATGGAACTTTAAAAGCTGTGTGGTGGTGCTTGCCTGCTAGTCTCTCAGCTCATTTGTTTGGTTGGCTGTGTTCATACTGCTCTTAAGTAACAACTGACTTGTTAACTAGTTTGTTTGCAATATATTGTAGCATCTGTGTTTTTCAAAACTGCATTTTAAAGTGAACTTGAGAAATAAACTAAACCCAACTGCTGTGTCAATTAAAATCACACCTCTGCCACTAGATGGTGCTTTATCTCAGGTTTACCTAAGGTCAACATAACCTGTCAAAAACATTATTTTACTGGTATAAGGCAAGATTATTGTAACTGAAGCACATTGTCAGTGCAAATATTTTAATATTCCATATCTAGGTCTAGATATTTTTGACTATCATGTTTTGTAGACTTCATGGCATGTTTTATTAAATGCTGTATTGCATGCACTTAAGTACCCAACTAGAAAAAGTGTTGATCACTGCAGTCTTGATTAAGCCTTTTCAGAAGGTGTTGTTTAGAGAAGCTAAAGATGACCTGTTAAGGCTATCACTATTCTGAACTCCAATAGTAAATTTAATTTCCCTAACTCCTATACAAGGATGGAAGCAGGTCAGAAAGAAAAACAGTGCACTAGCCATGCTGAACAATTCAAAATGATGTGAAATGCTAAGCAGATTAGCATTGCCTACAGTCTCTTCAGTATGGGGTCAGTGTGCAGTATTAAAGTTGGTCAGATGTGCAGCTGAGTGAGAGTGTGGGACACGTGGCTTGTCCCTGTCAATTGCCATATTTGTGGTGTATTAACGTGGGCCTTTTGGAGAGGCAAGCGTAGCCTTGGTCAGTGTCATTCAGTTTCATGTCAGCTAATCATATAAAAAATATAATGGACGTATTTTTAAGTTAGTGGTTACACAGTTTTAATTGATGCAGTTTAAATTATGAGTAGCCTGGTAATTATACACAGTGAAGTCCAGTGGCATGCACAGACTTTTTGTAATTTACACTGCTGTGTTAAGTCATATCTGAAATAAAAAAAGGTTGTTATTGAGTACTTTAAGTGTAAATGGGCTGCAAGAAAGTTTTAATGTTTTGACAACTGTATTTAAAAATATTTAAAAAATATTGACCTTTTGAAGAAGTTTTGAATGCTGTAATATGGCAAAATACGTCCTTATTAGTGTTTTAGTTGGGTGGAAGTTTAATGGTGGATCAGACAGACTTGTGCTTGGTTTGACAGAGTCATCAGGTTTATTTTAACATATAGCTACATGTTAAACCTCTGAAGTTAGCACAGGTTTGGCTAAGCAAGAAAACCAAGACTAAACTGCTTACAGTGTAGATGAACAACAACTGCAGAACTTTCTCATGTCAGATAGGGTCAGTGTTCATGGGTATCCATGGAAAGTTGCAAGTCAAAAAATGCTGCTTACCAAGAGGTTCATCTTACATTTCGTTTAACACTTAAACTTAACAATTTCTCAGTTGCATCAAGCTTATCTGTAAAAAACCTTGGTGTCATTATAGACCCTAATCTGTCCTTCGACGCACATATAACTAATATTACTAGAACAGCCTTCCTGCATCTCCACAATATTGCTAAATTGAGAAATGCATTATCTCTACAGTATGCAGAAAAGTTAGTTCATGCATTTATTACTTCAAGGCTAGACTACTGTAATGCCTGCTGTCTGGATGTCCCAGCAAAAGCCTTAACAAGCTTCAGCTAGTCCAGAACGCTGCAGCCAGAGTTCTTACTAGAACCCGGAAGTTTGACCATATCAGCCCAGTTTTATCAACCTTACACTGGTTACCAGTTAAATTTTGCATTGATTATAAAATTCTCTTACTGACTTACAAAGCTCTAAACGGACTCGCCCCTCAGTACCTGAGTGAACTTCTCTCTCACTATGAACCATCACGGCTACTTAGATCACAAGGTACTGGCTTACTATTAGTACCTAGAATTAATAAGGTTACGTCAGGGGGGGAGAGCTTTCTCATACAAAGCCCCCCAGCTTTGGAATAATCTTCCTGTTAATGTTCGGGACTCAGATACAGCCTCAGTCTTTAAGTCTAGGCTAAAGACTTACTTGTATAGTTAAGCCTTTGGTAATTAGTTTTCCCTGTCAGTTCTATACCTGCCAGAGTCTCTGCTGCTCTGCTAACACTTAAATCTGTGATCGGTCACCCATTACAGAAATGACTCTCTGTGTGTTTCCTTTCCTTTCTTTCTTTCCTTTGCTGAGTTGAACAGCTGCCCATCCTGTGCGTCTGATGCTGCCTCTTCTGCCTTGATTGGGTGCCACTGCTCACCAGCCCTCTGGACCGGCTTGACAACCATCAAGCTCCATGCTGTACTACGCCGTGCAAACCTCACCCTCACAACCTGACCCAACTGATGCTGCTGCTGCCACTGCTGCTGCATGAACTAAACTAATCAAATTAATCATTGCTCCACCTGTTTTCCCTGTTTTTTGTAGTAAACAATGTTTACTATCCGGTGTCGACCAGAGGAGGATGGGTTCCCCTTCTGAGTCTTGGTTCCTTTCAAGGTTTCTTCCTGTTTCCCTAGGGAATTTTTCCTTGCCACTGTCGCCACTGGCTTGCTCATGGGGGCTCGGACCCGGGTTTCTTTCTGAAATGCTGATTTCCTTGTAAAGCTGCTTTGTGGCAACACCTGTTGTAAAAAGCGCTATATAAATAAACTTTACTTACTTACTTACTTACATCTGAATCAAATGTACCTTGCCACAAAAACAAAAGGCTAACAGCAATACACTTCCCCCATCAATAAAAAAAAAATACATTGGATGGTGCCCTCTCTCGAACACAGGGAATTAGACAGAGTAGAATTTTAAATGGCATAATATGTACAGCCACACCTCTCTTACCTGTTCACTACAAAGCAATCGAAGCAACTATTTGTAAGTCAAGTTAGGGCAGATGCTGGAATTGCCCAACAATGTGCACACTCGTATGCAATCCATACATTTGCAACAGGACCAAAGCAGAAGTCAAATAATGCTATTTCTACGTCATTAGCTGCAGATCCTAAATGTTATTCAAATACACAGACTGTTAATCTTTTTCTGCCAATATTTCTCCCTCTCCTTGTGTATATTTAGTTTTAATAAAAAAGGGCTCTAACCTGCCCTTTTTATACCCAGTCATGTTACTGACCTGTTACTAATTAACCCCCAGGTGTTTTTTTTTAGCATTACACAACTTTACCAGCATTTTGTTGCCCCATCCCAAATTTTTTGAAACCTGTTCTTGGCATCAAATTCAAAATGGGCATATATTTTTCAAAAAACAGTAAACTTGTTTTAACATTTGATATGTTGTTTTTGTACTATTTTGAATGAAATATAAGGTTTAAATGATTTGCATATTATTGCATTTTGTTTTTATTTACATTTTCAAGTCAAGTCAAGAGTCAAGAGGCTTTTATTGTCATTCCATCTATGTACAAATACACAGTGGAGTGAAATTACGTTCCTTCAGGAACAACATGGTACAACATGGAACAAAAGTACAAAGTACAAAATTACAAAGTGCGAAACGTGCAGACAGTGTGCAAACAAAAATTAAGCTAGAAACAATACAATAAATACAATAAATTAAACAGACATTAGACACAGTAAACAGACAGGACAGTGTAGCACCAACACATCACAGATTTCTGGACATGAGGTAGTGCAATAAGGTGCAGACATATTAAACATGCTGTGGTCTGTAAGTTATGTAGTCAGATAACGTACATAAACACAGCAGATTACTGAGATAGTAAAACAGTGTAAACACAGCGTTAGCAGCAATGTTCCAGATAGATAGTGCAAGTAGAGCATCAAAAGAGGTGTGTGTGTGTGTGTGTTGGCAGGGGGGGATTTAGCTCAGTTCTTGTGAGTTTAAAAACCTGATTGCTTGAGGGACAAAGCTGTTGCAGAGTGATGGCACAGATGCTGCGGTACCTTCTGCCAGATGGCAGCAGTGAAAAAAGTCTGTGTGAGGGATGGATAGGGTCGTTCACGATGCTGGTGGCTTTCCGGATGCAGCGTGTGGTGTAGATGTCCGTGATGGAAAGGAGAGAGACCCCAATGATCTTCTCAGATGTCCTCACTAGCTTTAATTTTAATAATTAAAGACTGCGCTGTAGGGTATTGCGGTCTGATACATTGCAATTCCCAAACCAGGCGATGATGCAGCCACTCAGGATGCTCTCCACAGTCCCCCTGTAGAACATGGTGAGGATGAGAGGGGGGAGATGAGCTTTCTTCAGTCTCCGTAGGAGGCGTGCTGGGCTCTCTTGGCTATAGAGTTGGTGTTGAGGGACCAGGTGAGGTTCTCTGTGATGTGGACACCGAGGAACTTGGTGCTCTGGGCGATTTCCACAACAGAGCCAGTGATGTTATGTGGGGGGGTGGTCACCTCGCACTCTTCGGAAGTCAACAACCATCTCCTTAGTTTTGTCTGCATTCAGAGACAGGTTGTTGGTTCCGCACCAGTCTGTTAGTCGCTGCACCTCCTCTCTGTATGCTGACTCATCATTCTTGCTGATCAGACCCACCACAGTTGTGTCATCAGCAAACTTGATGATGTGATTTGAGCTGTGCTTTGCAGTACAGTCATTAGTCAGCAGGGTAAACAGCAGCAGACTAAGCACACAGCCCTGCGAGGGCGGCGGTGCTCAGTATGGTGGTGCTGGAGATGTTATTACCTACCCTGAATAACCGAGGTCTCTCAGTCAGGAAATCCAGGACCCAGTTACAGAGGGAGGCGTTCAGGCCCAGCAGGCTCAGTTTTCCAATCAGCTGCTGAGGGATGATGGTGTTGAATGCTGAACTGAAGTCTATGAACAGCATTCTGACATAAGTGTCTTTATTGTCCAGGTGGGTGAGAGCCAGGTGGAGTGTGGTGGACATGGCGTCATCTATTGAGCGGTTGGGGCAATATGCAAATTGCAGTGGGTCCAGTGAAGGAGGAAGCTGGTCTTTAATGTGCCTCATGACAAGCCTCTCAAAGCACTTCATGATGATTGGAGTGAGTGCAATGGGATGGTAGTCATTGAGGCAGGATCACAGGTCAAAACACAACAGATTTTTCACTTCGGAATGGAAATTTCAAAGGAGAACATTCTAGTTATAGCACTCTTGTCAGAAAAGCTGGTATTTCAATTTAGCATGTTTTCTTAATCTGTGATGACACGGTCATTTTATGATTCAGTACAGTATATATTACATATTTTTCCTTTATAATGGCTGTTACGCCCTGTTAAAGACACTGTAAGAGGGTTTTAGGTGAAACTGATGAATTTAAACAGTAATAGATGTCTTTCTGAAAGCGGTGTGCGAAAGTCTCACGCTGTGCTGAGCTGAGTTAAAACTCTCTTGTTAGATCTTAGGCTCTTATGAACTTCTAGCCAATCGTAGCGCAGGAGGAGGGGTTTGTCGGAATACGGGTGAGATTAGAAAAATAACGCTCCCTGATCCACAGTACGGACGTCGTTCCAGTGTGAGACCCCTGCAGTCCAGGTGAGGGCGCTAGTTCTATAACTATGGTTCTCAATAACGCGGAGAAGAAGAAACTCAAGACGCTTTGTGTTATTATATAGAGAAAGAGGAGCTGATCTGCTGAAGGTAAAGAGCTGTTTATCACGCTGTTTACACTGTGTTTATAACTCACTTTTACAGAAACTGGTTGAGAATTGCCCTCTTTTTGAAAAGTAAGACGTGAAATATGTGAGTGAACACAGAGCCAGCCTTCATTCAGACTGAGCTGAGCTGAGGAGGCTAATGCTGGCGCTTAGCTCTGTATTTCTGGGTCATAATAATGTTTTCTAGCTGGGTTGGAGAAGACCTTTTCTTTAATGAAGGTATTGAGCTGGTTTTGGAGTAGGGGATCTGCTGAAACATTTTTGACGCTTTGCTGTGAGGGTAGTAATGGCCTGGATTCCTCTCCAGATGGAGGAACTTTAAGGAGAATCCATTATCCATTAGCATCAACCCACCTCCAAACAAATAGCTCCTTGAGTGTGTGTAGGGCAGAATGTTAAAATAAATGTGTGTCTGTACTTCCATGACTGGCTCACACCGAGGCCCTTTGCTGATTGACCAGCTCAAAGTCTCCTTTGTTGGCAACACATTAAATAAAAGGAAGCTTAGATAACCACATTGGAAGGTCACATTTAGTTTGTAAGTAGGAATTTTTGCTTAATGTAGTGTTGAACTCACATGTATTAGTCCGAGACTGTTTTTTTTAATGAGGAACGAACACAACCTAGCTCTGTCTTGTGTAATGAGTGTACTTGTATTCTCATGTTTAGTCTCAAAGCTCTTCAGGTTGTCCAAGTTGGTCAGATGGGTTTGCAGAAGCAAACAAAGTTACAATGTTACATGAATTTGTCACTATATTTTGCGTTGACTTTTTTTTCTTTTCCAGAAAGGAATATTCTCCTGGTCCTATTGTCCATTTTCCCCTGCGGTTCTCATTTTCATCCACAAATGCCAACAAACACCACCAAAAGGAATATGTCACACTGATATAATTAGGAAATATTTAATGTAAAGATATGGTGTCCAGGAGATCCAGTACTCGGAAAACATCCTCTCCTGCTCTCTACACAAGCACACCTTGCCGACGAAGAAAGAAGATTAAAGATAAAGAACTTTACTTCTGCTCAGAGTGTGGAAAGAATTTTACTGTAGAAAATCAGCTCCAAAGACACCAACTCATTCATAGAAAAGAGAAACTGTATCACTGTTCAGAGTGTGGGAAAAGTTATTCTAGACAAACTCATCTCCAAACACACCAGCGCCTTCACACAGGAGAGAAACCGTATCACTGCTCAGAGTGTGGAAAGAGTTTTAGAGAAAGTGGTTCCCTCAAGAAACACCAGCGCATTCACACAGGAGAGAAACCGTATCACTGCTCAGAATGTGGGAGAAGTTTTTCAAGACAAAATCATCTCCAAACACATCAGCGCATTCACACAGGAGAGAAACCGTATTACTGCTCAGAGTGTGGCCAGAGTTTTAGAGAAAGTGGTTCCCTCAAGAAACACCAGCGCATTCACACAGGAGATAAACCGTATCACTGTTCAGAGTGTGGGAAGAGTTTTAGAGAAAGTGGTACCCTCAAGAAACACCAGCGCATTCACACTGGAGAGAAACCGTATAACTGCTCGGAGTGTGGACAGAGTTTTACTACACAGTGTCATCTTCAACGACACCAGCCTGTTCACACAGGAGAGAAACCATATCACTGCTCAGTGTGTGGGAGGAGTTTTTCTAGACAAAGTCATCTCCAAATACATCAGCGCATTCACACAGGAGAGAAACCGTATCACTGCTCAGACTGTGGACAGAGTTTTAGAGAAAGTGGTTCCCTCACAAAACATCAGCGCATTCACACAGGAGAGAAACCGTATCAGTGCTCAGAGTGTGGGAAGAGTTTTGCTGTACAGAGTACTCTGTTAACTCACCAGCGCCTTCATACTGGAGAGAAACCATATTACTGTTTTGAATGTGGACAGAGTTTTAGAGAAAGGAGTAACTTTATGAAACACCAGCGCATTCACACAGGGGAGAAACCGTATCACTGCTCAGAATGTGGAAGAAGTTTTAGAAGCAGTGGTACCCTCAAAATACACCGTCGTATTCACACAGGAGAGAAACCGTATCAGTGCTCAGAGTGTGGGAAGAATTTCAGACACTCAAATTTTAAGTTCCACAAATGCATTAAGAGGTATGTCAAATTAAAAAAAAGATGACTTGGGGCAAAAGAATTATTATTTATATATATATATTTTTATTTAGTCATTTTTAATATATAACTATTCTTTGTGTATTAGTGTTGTTAATGAGACACATAACATTAAATAGCATATGATGTCTAAAGAGAAGAATGTGTATCTTTATGGGCTTTTTTTTCTTCTCTCTGTAGACAGAAGATTTGAGAACTGAAGAAACCTGGTAGACCTTTCAACATCATAAGAGGGCAGTCTTGATAAACATCCAAGTGTCCACTAATGCACACAGTGTCTGACTCAACTCAGGAATAATAAAAATAAATCCAACAACTGGTAAGCTTACCGAGATGCAGTTTTCATGTTTCATCTTCTGAGAACCAAGAAGTAGAAAGCTGCAAGCGAGTACTTTAACCTGCGGTTCTGAGTAAGAAAAGGAACCTGATTGAAACATCCAACTGAACTATCTGCTGGATGGTCATTTCTATCATAATAGAGGGTATTCATGGGTTTGGTGGAATTTTAGTACAGCAAAACTTCCTCTTTGTTTTCCCTTGTTTAAAAGAAACGTCTGAGGGATTTGAGGAAATCATACTTCATACTCAAAGGGAAAATGGTACTTAAAGGGAAAAGATTAATATATTTATGCAACCAGGCACAGGTCCTTCAAGCGTTTCAAGCAGTCTACTTAGCAGTGATGTTGCTAGTCTTTTGAAGCATTTATAATTTCAAACAATCAGGTGGAGGTTCAATGGGCAGAGTCATACTGCCGTCTCTAGTGACTCATATGAATCGTCATCATTGTCTGGTGGAATTTCGTACTGCACAAACTCAAACCAGATTCTTTGTTGCTCAATAATGTCAAATATCTTAGCAGCGCAGCAATATAAACACCTGGCTAAAAATGGGACTAGACATTCAGACTTCAGTGAAAGGTGCAAAAGCCAACATCTGCCATGGTATAGCCGTGCATAAGTGACCTGCATATGTGTGAAGACCATTGTTGTGGAGGCATATATTGGGATTTTAGAGAGACATATGCTCTCGACGAGACGACAGCTTTTCTCGGAATGTATTAAGAGGAGAATCAGAAAATTATGACCATAGAATTTTGAGACTTCAAGCAATGGAAGCAGTTCCACTTTCAAAACTGCAATAAATTAGTATTGTTATTTCCCAAATGATTAAAGAGTGTAATTAAAACTAAGAGTGATGCCTCTGTCCTAACTTTTTATGAGTGTTTCAAGTATCAAAATCTACATTTGTTTATATTTACAAAAAATAATTGAGGTCGACTGTGAAAATATTGTAAGTCTTTTTGTGGTTTTGTCAGTTAACAAAATGTTTTCATTGAAATTTACAAAATGTCCCACCTTTTCCAGAACAGATGTTTGCATGTACACTTCTGAATGTTTCCTTTCAGTAATAATGATTGGTATATATGTATTTTATACATGCAGGACACATTTCAAGTATATTGTTTTATTCCAAAATGTATTTCGAACATTAAGCAAGTACTGTGACGGGCCTGTGCCATTACAGGTGGAGTTGTATGGTGTACCTGTGTGGTGTGCTTGTGGTGGGAGCTTCTCTTTTGTTTTGTTGTTTGTGTCCTGGGCATTGTGCTTCAGTTTATTTTGGAGTTATTTTGGCCAATTTTTTTTTGTCCTTGAGATTTTTTTACACCAGAACCTTAAATTTATTTCTTATTAAAATATTTTTTTCATTTATTCACTATTTGCTTTCCTTTTATTTGTCATGATGTTGAGCCAGTCATGACAAATGTGGGGGCTTGTCTGCTTTTTTTTGTTGTTGTTAGGATTTTTTTTTCTCCTCTCTTTTTTGAGTAGTTGGAGGCATGCAGTGTTTTGTTTTGGGTTTTTGTGTTAGCTGATTTTGCTTGTTGTTTAGTTTGGTCTGGTGCAGGCTTTTGTTGGGGTGAGCCTATTTTGGACTTTTGCGTGGTACCGTGGATCCTTTGGATCCTGCTGTTGTTTGGTGAGTACTCTGCAGGGGTGGGTTGGTTTGGGTTGTAGTTCCCTTTGACTGGTTTAGTGGAGTGTCTGTGTTTGGGCACTCTGTTTTGTTTGGGGGGTGGGTTTTGGTTTTCTTTTTGGCCCTTTTTATTTTTGTACCACTTCTGGGCTGAGGGCGTCGCCATAGTGGTTGGGTTTTGTGGCTCTGGCCAGAAGACTTCTGTCCTGCTGGTATTTGGGTGCTTAAAATGACTCAGCTCTTGGAAGGAGTACGAAGACTAGGTTGGGCTTAGATAGTTTTGGTTTAATAGTTAGGGGGAACTGCAATTGCGGTTGCCTCCCCTCCTGTTTGAGTTGTTTGTTTGCTGACTCTGCTTTGTGTTGGCTATAGCTTCTGTTAGTCAGTTTGTTCAGTCACCCTCTGAGGACTTATTGGATCAGTTTTCTAAGGATCAGCTGTTAGAAGTTGCTAGTTATGATGTTGGGTTATCAATTGCTGATAAGTGGATGAAGGGGTAAACTGAAATCTGCATTGGTAGAAAAGGGTGTTTTGAAGACTTTACCTGTTTCTCCTAGTGCCTCATCTTTGCCACGTTCTTTGACTTTTGAACAGCGTAAAGAGTTGATATTGTTGGAAAGTGCGGCTAAGGAAAAGATTATTCAAATCCAGTTAGAGGTGGAGAAGTAGATTGAGTTGTCTAGGCATCAGTTGGAGCAGAAGTGACTTGAAGCGATACCGTTTGGATTTGGTCAAGGCTGGCAGGCTTTCAGATACTGGATTTTCAGCTGGTCCTGTTGAGTTACCTGGTTTTGATGTAGTTAAGTATCTTTAGTTGCTGGCTAGGTTTGATGAGAGGGGATGTTGAAAGGTTTTTTTCACTGTTTGAGCGTCTGGCTAGCGCAAGGGCATGGCGTGATGTAGAGCGCACCATGTTGTTACAGTGTGTGTTTACTGGTAAGGCTCAGGAAGCTTATTCTGCGCTCAGTGCAGAGAATGCAGCAGATTATCAGGTGGTTAAGACTGCCGTTTTACAAGCTTATGAATTGATTCCAGAGGCGTACAGGCAAAAATGTAGGTTTTGGCGGAAAGGGGAGAGGCAAACACGTAGAATTTGCGAGGAGTATTTCATTACATTTTAATCGCTGATGTACAGCATCAGGTGTTAAGACTTTAGATGATCTGAAAGATTTAACTGTACTGGAACAATTTCAAAATTCTGTTTTTGATTGCCTTGCTATCTATATAAACGAGTGTAAAGTCAAGACTGCATATGATGCTGCAATTTTGGCAGATGAATTTTGTTTTGATTAATAAGACCTTGTTTAGCACTGTAGGGGATCAGTTGTGTCGTTTCCCTAAGGATAGAAATCTTGAGAATGTATGCTGTTACTGTCATGCCAGTGGTCACTGGAAAAACGAATGTCCTGTTTTGAGGACGAAGATGGAGAGCACTCCTTCCAAGGCTTCTAGGAGTGCTCCTGGCCCTGTGAAACCTGTTGGCTTGATAGCTGCTGCTCTTTCTGTGATTGGGCCTGTTACTGGGAAGTCCTTTGATTCTATGTGTTTGCCATTTGTGATGGACAGACGTGTCCATTTAGTGGATTCTACCCAGGCGGTCCCTATTAGATTTTTGAGAGATACTGGGGCATCAGAGTCTTTTATATTAGAATCTGTGTTCCCTTTTTCTTCTGAGTCCTATATGGACAGTGATGTTTTGATTAGGGGAATTGGACTGAATGTTTTGTCTGTTGCTTTACATAGGGTTGTTTTAAAGTCTGATCTGGTCCAGGGAGAGGTGCAATGTGTTTGGCGAGGTGTTCTTCCATCTTTGGTTGTGTCTTCCACACCGGTCACTTGAACGGATGATTTGGAGGAGAATGTTTCACCTGAGATATTTGTCTTGTGCGGTGACACGTGCCATGGGTAAAATTTCCCCAACCAAGGATCCTTCATACCTACTAGGAATTTCAGAGGGTAAAATATTTGAAATTCCCTAATGCCTCTCTGTTTCACCTGAAGTGTTGGTTAGAGAGCAACGTGCTGATCCTTCTTTAGGTGACTTATTTGATAAAGTCCTGCCTGCCTCTGTTATTAAAGATCTGCCTTCAGGTTACTTTTTGGAAGATAGCCTGTTGTTGAGAAAATGGGTTCCACACGGCATTCATTTTGTGGGAGACTCTATTTTTCAAATTGTAGTGCCAAATTGTAGTGTTCTGCAGACCACTCATGATGTGTCCGGACATTTGGGGGTTAGAAAGACCTAGAATGGAATACTGCAGCAATTTTTTTGGCCAAAACTAAAAAAGGATTAGCCAGTTAACTGGTAAGCCTAATCAAACACTGAAACCTGCTCCCCTTTACCCTATTCCTGCTATTAGCCAACCATTTGAGCATCTGATAGTGGATTGTGTGGGCCCTTTACCCAAGTCCAAAGCAGGAAGTATTTATCTTCTGACTATGATGTGTCAAGCCACACGATATCCTGCAGCTTATCTGCTTTGTTCTATTACTGCAAAGTCTGTGGTTAAAGCTTTGACTTAGTTCATTTTAATTTTTGGATTCCTTTGAGTCATTCAGTCTGACCAAGGGTCTAATTTTACTGCTAGTTTGTTTAGCCAGGTATTAAACATAACTGGGCTACTGCATACCATGCCCAGAGCCAGGGAGCCTTAGAAAGAAAAAAAAATTACATTGGAATGCATAAAGTCAGGAACAGAGCCAGTGACTGATTGGTCAAGAAGTCAAGAAAACAGCAATTTGCTGGTCCCTGTACTGTGGTGAGGCAGACATCTTATTTGACCCAGGTGATTTGTGTTTTACTAGGCCAGTTAAAAAATTTGGAAGCTTTGCATAATTTGGATAGCATGCTGGGCATTTGCCTGCCTTGCAGCATTCAGAGTTGATTAAACTGATCAGTTAATATGGGTCACTGTTTCCAGATACCCCCACTTGCACAAATCTTATTGAGCATGATATCGATGTGGGTGATGCAGCCCCTATTCGGCAGCTGTACTACCGTGTCTCTCTGGATAAGAGAAGACAATTGGAGAAGGAAGGTGATTACATGCTTAAGAACAAAATAGCAGAGCCTTCATTTTCCAGCTAGGCCTCTCCATGCCTTTTGGTAAATAAGCTTGATGGTTCTTTTAGGTTTTGTACTGATTATCTGAAGCTGAATGCAGTGACTAAGCCTGATTCATTCGTCTCTGCTTTCATTACACCATTTGGTTAATATTCTTAGAGGGTTATGAGTTTTGGATTGCAAAATGCTCCTGCTACATTTTAGCATCTAATGAATCATGTTTCTGGTTTAGAGGGTTGTGCTGTATATTTGGATGATGATGTGGTATTTAGTAATACCTGGGATGCCCTCCTTCTCCATATAAGGGCACTGTTTGATTGATTTACATTACAGGCCTGTGCCATTACAGGTGGAGTTGTTGTGGGTGGGGCTGAAGGCCTTATCAAGACCACTACTTACACCTGTGTGGTGTGCTTGTGGTGGAAGCTTCTCTTTTGTTGTGTTGTTTGTGTCCCGGCAGTAGGCCAGTTTTCTTTTGTTCATTTGGGCATTATGCTTCAGTCTAATTCGTTTATTTTGGGGTTATTTTGGCCTATTTTTTGTCCTTGAGATTTTTGCACCAGAACCTTAAATTTATTTCTTATTAAAATCATTTTTTCATTTATTCACTGTGTTCCTCCCTTTTATTTGTCATGATGTTGAGCCAGTCATGATAGTACATTAAGCAAAAACCCCTTCCTTGGCATTTTTAATCACTTTCAAATGTATTATATAAAAACACTTTACCTGTATTTGTTTTCCATACATGTAAAACATGCATGTTTGTGTTTTAAATCATATTTATGTAAATTCATAACTGTTGCAGTAAATAAAAGGGCATTAGCAAGTCAGTGTGAATCTGAATCTGAACTCATTGAAACTGATGGAGAGTTTAAACCTAAAGACATGTTTTACTCCAAACATTTTAGGTGTAACTGATGGATTTAAACAGTAATAGACATTTTTCTGAAAGCAATAGTGTTAAAGTGTCTGCTGTGCTGGACTGGGATAAACTCCCCTGTTAGATCTTTGGTTTCTAACTGCTGTAGATCCTCCGATGCTGGTTGCTCCGGTACAGAGAGCTGATTCTCAATCAGCAGACTTCCCTTCATGTACCCCAATTGTAGCGCAGGAGGCAGGGTTTGTCGGAGTACAGGTGGGATTCGAAAAAACATGGACTTTCATACTGCCTTCTCTCATACTTAGTTTCTGATCACATATATTAATTTAATTTAGATATACACAATAATTTGTCTTGTATTTTTTTTTACTTTTTTAAATCCATAATTTATGATGGATTAATTTTGTTATTCTTTATTTTTTTTTTATATTAGTACACTTGCATGATTGATTTCTGATCGTTTGCTTTGTTCTGTTTTCCTGATATAAACTAGCTGCAAAGATCCATTTTTCATGATATCTTTAGTGTCATTTTACAGTAAATTCATTGCACGAAGCAGTGGTTATCAACCCTGGTCATGGAGATCTGTCTTTTTGCAAAGTCTAGTTCCAACCCCAGTGTGCCACACCTGCTCAAGCTCACTGACATCTTCAGAAGATCATGATGGGAAGGACCAGATTTCTTACTGTTAGGTTAGGCAAGGTGAATGCAGTATGTCAAATGCAGCTTGGAACTAAACCCTGCAGGAAAGCAGATCTCAAAAGTCAAAGTCAGTTTTGTCATTTCTCCTCATTACAGATTTGTTGAGAGAGGTACAAAATGTAGTGTTTTAAGGACACGGTGTGACATTAAACATACAACAGCAGCAGGCAGACCATAAATACTAGTGTTGCACTGATATACATACTGGCACCTAAACGCACTATCACTGTCAGTGATGGGGATACCGATACCTGTGACTGACACCACAAAGCAATTTCTGATGCGTGTATGCATATGCGCTAGTAGACAGAACTTAACACATCAGTGGTGTGGGACGACAAGCAGCAGTAAAAAAGCTCATGGCAGAATCTGTAACAGCAGTTTTTGATGTTCAGAACACGCTAACGGATCCACTTACCTAAACAGCTGAGGTGCTTCTTTCAGTAATCACTCGTCTGCCGCTGTGTGGTCGGAAGGAACTGTCTATATACTGTTTAATTCTGTTTTTAACTGTTTTGCACAAAGAAGATATGTTACGTTTACTGTTAAAGGTGGTTCTTATTACTAATTATGCAATTGCTAATAAGGCAGTGCACAGGTATTGGGCCATAGCAGCCATTCTGGCCAGAGAGTCCTCATCCTCCACCATGAACATGCCTTCTCCAGGCCCATCTCCCCACCCTTGTGAACCTGGCCTGTGGCCAGGAGAGAAATGAGGGGGCTCGTGATCAGGTGTGGGCCAGGGACATGATGGGAGGAGGTGGGTCTCCAACCACCTCAGCTCATCCAGCAGAATGCAGCGGGGAGAGAGAGAGAGGGAGACAACAGGTCCAGGTGGACGGGGGCAGGGGTTTACATTTACAGTATTTAGCAGACGCTCTTATCCAGAGCGACTTACAAAAAGTGCTTTGTCTATCCAGAGAAACTATCTTTGCTAGTTACCAATAGGTTAGAGAGAAAGCCAGTCCTGAGCTCAGATACTGCTAGAATCAGAGTCATTGTTGATACTTAGAGAAAAAGGAACAGAGTTAAACACAGAACAGATCGAGATTTCACCATTGCCCTCAAGTAGGGAGGGGCTGGTCCATTTTTGGCTTTGTAGGCAAGCATAAGAGTTTTAAATCTGATGCGTGCAGCTACAGGAAGCCAGTGAAGGCAGCGCAGCAGTGGGGTGACGTGGCTGAACTTGGGGAGATTGAAGACAAGCCGTGCTGCTGCATTCTGGATGAGTTGCAGAGGCTTGATGGCCTGCATTGGAAGACCAGGATTGAGTTGCAGTAGTCAAGCCTTGAGATGACAAGAGACTGCACTAGCACCTGGGTGGCCTCTCAATTGAGAAAGGGTCAGATCCTCTGGATGTTGTGCAGGAGAAATCTACATGACCGAGTTAGGTTCACAGTGTGAGTCGAGAACGATAACCGGCTATGCAGAACCACACCAAGACTTCTTGCCTCTACAGATGGGACAATCAGAGAGTTCTCGGTTGAGATGGTAAGATCATGATGAGGACCTGTAGTTGCAGGGATGAATAGCAGCTCAGTCTTGCTAGGATTGAGCTTCAGGTGGTGAGCTGACATCCATGAAGAGATGTCAGACAGACATTCCGAGATCCAACTGGAAACCTGTGTGTCAGAGGGTTTCCACTGTGCCTTGCTCCTTGGCCTCCAGTGAGGGAAGCTTTGCATCCACAAGGGTCCGGAGGTAGTAAGCCAGCCGTGACAGAGGTATGTCGACCTCCCCAGGCCCTAAAAACCCACTCCATGCTGACTTCGTCCTCATCCAAGTCCTCAGGGAGCAGACAGCAGCAGAGTTTCTTCCTCCAGTGGTGCAGTTGTTGCTCATTCCACGAGGAAGTCCATTTTGTTGTCAAGTGTGCAAACGCTGGCTGAACATATCAAGGGTACAGCCAGTCTGGAGGGGTTAGCTTTTAGCCTAGCTTGGACTCCAACTGCATTTGTGCTTCGGCTTGCATCGACCACTGTGCCTCCTTCCCTGGCGGGGTCACTAAGGTGAGGCCGCTGTGAATGGGCCTGGTATCTGAAGAAGCCCAGCTTTATTTAACTCCTCCCCTGACTTTGCTCAGAGTGTGGAAAGAGTTTTGCTGTACAGAGTAATCTCTGAATGCACCAGTGCATTCACACAGGAGAGAAACTGCATCACTGCTTAAGAGTGTGAAAAGAGTTTTACCTTACAGAATATCTCCAAATACACCAGCGAATTCACACAGGAGAGAAACCATATTACTGTTCAGAATATGGACAGAATTTTAGAAACAAAACACACCAGCGCATTCACACAGGAGAGAAACCTTATCACTGTTCAGAGTGTGGGAAGAGTTTTACCTTCCAGAGTAATTTCCAAACACATCAACGCATTCACACGGGAAAGAAACCATATCCATAAGTATTGTACATTTATTTTTTAGTTTTCCCTAATTTTTTTCTTTTTTCCCAGAAAAACCTTAGCCTTTTGTGTGCATCACGGTCACCACTTCTGTAGACCTATTCCTTTAATTTCTACAGGAGCTACCAGAGTAGACCTTAAAGATATATTCAGCTTGTCTATCATTTATTTGAGCTGTGGTCCATCATGTGGCACACTGCTCAGTGGATTTTAGTTTAGAAGATTATCTAAGACATCTGACACCGTATGGTGAAAGAATCAAACATCAAATTTAGGTCCAGAGTATGATTAAACTAGTGGATGTGACCTAAAACATGCTGAAAAACACCAACAGAGTATAATATTGATATTACACTGTCCTTAAAGGATCACCTTCCATCTCCATATGAATATTAGTCATCCATGATTACAGCTTTGTCCAGGCTGGAAAGAAACTCTGAAAATTCTTTTAGAAACTATGATTGGCCAAGATATATACATGCATTTTCTTTTCTAGATGTACTAACATCAGAAATATGTAGCGTAGCAAGAAAAAGAGAAACATACACTATTGTGCTTTCATAGGGGACCTATTATGCTTTTCTTGTTTTTTCCTTTTCCTTTAGTGTGTTATATTTTTTCGTGCATGTAAATGATTTGCAAAGTCAAAAAAAGTGCCAAAAGTATTCGAGAACTCCAAAATTTCATCACAGGATCTGCAAGTAGTTTTTGCCAGTGTGGATGTTGGAGTACATGTATTTACCATTAGAACGAGACTGCACAAATTTGACTTACATAGGAGGCATACCAGGAGGAAGCATTTGCTGCCTTAAAAAGATTATGACTAGACTATGAATATGAGTGCTTGAGGAGAATGTGAAACTGTCTGTCATATGATGCCCCCTTTAAAGTCAGTTTGTAAAATGTCTGCCCTGCTAGAGCTGCCCTAGCCAACTGTGTACTTATTGTTACTGTGGACTGGATGACAAGAAGCAACAGTACCTCAGTGGTGGAATGATGTACATGGTGGTGGAATACATGTCTACCATACAGCCCAAATTCTGTTTGAGTATCTCCTAATTTTACATTCTGAAACAGCCACACCTTGGAGAATCTTTTTTTTTCTGGGTAGATGTCTCAGAAATCTTTCTTGGCTTGGTATCTACAGAACAGCTAGTTTCACACTTCTTTCTCAGTCTTTGAAAAGTACTGAATCACTTTTTCACAACTCTTTATAACCCTTTGCTTATTTACAGTGTTTACTTTTTTCTCACAGACCCTATAACAGATTTTTGCAATCCTCATTGTTTAGTATCCTGTAAATTTACACCACAGTCACTACACAGGTTCAGCTTCTTCACCTTCACAATGATCTCAGTGTACCTGAGAGGGTATTTACAGGCCCAACATACAACGTAAAGTTTATACACAATGAAATTTATGGACACTTCTGACTGTAATTTCAGTGGTTATTATAGTTAATACCTGTAAATTTCAGTGATGATCAATAGCTTTATTTTATTAAAGCAAGAATGTTTTGTATGATCACTAATTTTCAAAGAACAGATGTTACGTTCCCCTCAGATGTAGCTAGGGGTGGAGGGAAAATAACATGGCATGTGATGGAGATGGAAGGGAAGGACACAAGTACACAGTAGTGGCGTTTGCAATCAAGTCTTTAGTTTGCTTCTCACTTGCAAAAGTGTCTGATACAGGAACAATATATTTGCAAGGAAAGAGGGTTAATATAATAAACTGAGCTGAATGCATATAGATTAAAAGAAAAGGAGTTAACTAACCAACAAGTATGCAAGAACACTGACTAAGGGGACCCAACCAACCGCAAGGGTGGACGGAGGATGGTGCCAACAGAATTCAGAGTGCAATTTGTTTATGATACACCAATTCCTTCCCAATTGAAATTGCTCCACTAATGAGCACTTTAAAAATAATACATAACAAGAATATTTTTTTAAAACTGTTATTTGTTTATATTGTAATCTGTTTATTGAATGTATTAACATCATCTTTATTCCATTATTTTATTTCATAAATGTGTGAATTCATAACTTTTTCAGTAAATAAATGGGCATCAGTGAGTCAATGTGAATTTGAATCTGAACTCACTGAACTGCCCAGGGAAATGGTTTCCAATAGAGACCACTAGTTTCCTGTAGAACAGCTTTAGATCCCATTAGAAAATCATCAAATGCATTTAGAATCAGCCACTGGTCACTTGTTAAACCATTGGGATCCTTTATACTGTAATATCAACCTTTAAAAAGACAAAACACATTACAAAACCATCAAGAACCAACAGAAACACAAAGGTTTCTGTGTTATTTTACCTGGTTGCTCCGGCAACGAGAGCCGTTTCTCAACCAGCCAGTCAGTGGACTGCTCTCCTGAACTTCTAGCCAATCGTAACGCAGGAGGCGGGGTTTGTCGGAATACGGGTGGAGTTAAAAAAATAACGCTCCAGATCCACAGTGACGACGTCGTTGCTGTGTGAGTCCCCTGCAGTCCAGTTGGAAGCGCTAGTTCTGTAACTGTGGTTCTCTGAAGAAGAAGAAGAGCAAAAAGAGCAGATCTGTGTTATTAAACAGAAGAACAGCAGCTGATCTGCTGAAGGCAAAGAGCTGTTTTTCATTTTTTTTTCCACTGTTTACACTGTTTTTACTGAAACTTTTGGAGAAATATTCTCTTTTTGGTAAGTAAAAAGTAAAAGTGTGAAATGTTTGGGCTAACTCAGAAACTGCCTTTACCCAGACAGAGCTGTGGAGGAGGCTAATGTTAGCTTAGCTGTGATTTTGGGTGATAATGATGTTTTTCTAGTTGGGTTGGAGAAGGTCAGAGATGTGTAGAAGACACTGGTAACATTCATTCAATTACACGTAAGAAAGAGTGTTGTGTTGGTTCAGCTCCTGTTCTGCTTCATTGTTTCTCACACATCTCACTTTTTGGAGATTTTATTTTAGAGGAATTTAAGAAAAGTACCCAGTTCCTACTTCTTGAGTCATTATTTCGTTGAAATGTAAATGGGTTTAAATTTGGGAGAGGGGGTCACTGATTCAGTTTGGGTGGGGGCGTTGGTTAAGTGTGAATAGGGGTGGTGTTGAGTTTAGGTGGATGTCACTGGTTCAGCTTGGGTAAGGGGATTGTCAGTGAACAGCTAATGGATTTAGTACTAGGAGAGGATTTAGCAGTTTGTATTTTTTTAATGGTTTTGCTCTATAGTATGTGATCAAAGGCCTTCAAAAGAGCAGAGTCTTTAAATGTAGCCACATACTGTCTATTATTACCTTCCTTTATCCTTTTTACATGGTTATAGCCTTGATAGCCATAGATTCAACTTTTCAAATGCAGCAAGAGTGACAGGCATGTGAGGGGTCCTCTATGAAATTGCCCCACCATATTCCATATCCTAGAAGAATACAGGTTTTGAGGTTGGAGAGCCAAGAGCCAATGAGTTTCTCTGCAAATCATGCAGTTTGCTGTATCTTAGGTTTGATGAGCAACAATCCACAACCAACCCAGACAGAGGTGGTGCTGGTCCTTTTTCATAGCTGTTGTGGTGTATCTGTCCCATTTAAGGTTCTACTGCTGAATTTGAAGGACTTTAGTTTGCTAACTAATGCAGGGTATATCCAGTGAGAAAGTGGGTAGGACTTTTTTTACAATGATCATCTCTAAGATCACTTTTTGTATTTTAAAAAGAGTGATGTCATTTGTATGCTCAGCCAATATTTCTTTTCCTAATCTTCTTCTGAGAAAATGGCTGACGATGTTCAGTGGTAGCGATAGGAAAGGGTGGGGGGGGCGGAAGATTTTTGCTTTTGACTTTTTGAATAAAAGATGTTTAGTTGTTTTGCTCAGAAATGAAATATAAAATGAGTCGATTTGCTCAAAGCAGAACCAGGACTTGCTTTTACATTTCCCAAAGGTTCATCTTTGGCCTTTTTTCCTGAAACTAAACCGTTATTGCAGAGCTGAGATGACAGATTGTCATGATTTTTATCAGCAAAAATAGCAAAAAAATAGCAACGCTGTTCAGGAAAAACAAATCAAACTTACAAATAAAAAAGTCTCACCATTCCATTCGATTGGGTCAGCTTGCAATCAGTCAATAGTTAGAGTCGCGTAACTACGTCCCTGCATGGAATGAAAAAATAATTATTCTTGGTATCCAAGATTCCACCTTAGGTTTTGTATTTCGTTAAGAATGATTTTTACGAAGTTTATTTAAGAAGCAAAATACTTGTTTCCATTTTTTCTAGTTCCATTTTTACTAGTTTGGAGCCCAACTCCTCACCCAAGCTAATTTTAAAATGGCTGCATTTTATCTCTCAAAAATGAAAATCAAGTTCCCTTTCATATGGCATGTCCAAACTCTTTAAGAAAGGAATCAAGTAGTGAGACATTAGACTTGATCCAGTGCATACTATCCCAAATCAAGAGATTGGAAAGTTTCAGTTTGATGAGACGCTTTGATCATTTCAGGTTGGAGATGAAGTTCTTTTTATTGCCTTTGTAAGGTTCAGATTTTTTAGTTTTCCATATATGACTAAGTCAATGTTGAGTGACACAAATGGTTCAAAAGACCCCAGATGAGGAAGAAAGTGTCATGTTTGTCATGTAAACATGCTTAACTTCATACAAGTTTAACTTTATGTTTAGACTTTCTTTTTAACTTGAGAAAAAAAAATCAAAGTCGTGACTTAGTTGCTGTATGGTAGCCAGTGAAGGAATGTACTGCTGTGTAATCTGTTTAGTGCTGTGTAATGTCATTATATACAGTAGTGTGTCTGTACTGTGATTGTATTTAGAACATTCTGTTCTGCCTATTTTGTTTATACCACACCAGCTGGTAATAATTTGGGATAATAGCTAGTTCATCAAATGCACACTTCACATAAAAGTTCAGCTTTCTTTTAAAGATGCAAATAGGACAAAAAATGATCGCTTACATATGACAGAGAGCTTCATTTTAGACAGCTGCACTAGCAATAAACAGAACTAACTCTTACAACATGCTTGTTAGGTTTTAAGGTTGAAAAGACATTCATAGAAATAAGAATATTATTTATTGCATATAAAAAAACACTGCTACTGAGATGTTTGATTTTTGACTATTCTGTTGCACTGGCATTTAAGTTTTTTCCCTTGTTTTCTTCCAGAAAGGATTGACCTCCTATGGCAAGTTTTATCCTGCTTCTAGTGTCCACTTTCTTACATAGTTGTAATTTACCTGCTGAAATACATCAAAGAAGCGCAACCCAACTGACAACATCATATTGCTGATGTTAGAAAAGATTATATGTGAGGATATGGTGTCCAGAAGCTCCAGGGCTCGTAAAACATCCTCTGCTGCTCTCAGGACAAAGTCATCTCACAGACGAACACGAAAGATTGAAAACAAAAAAGGAACACACCACTGTTCACAGTGTGGAAAGAGTTTTACTTTAAAGACAGATCTCCAAAGACATGAGCGCATTCACACTGGAGAGAAACCCTTTCCCTGCTCAGAGTGTGGAAAGAGTTTTAGTTTAAAGTGTCATCTCCAAAGACACCAACTCATTCATACGGATGAGAAACCGTATCACTGCTCAGAGTGTGGAAAGCGTTTTAATACAAAGAATAATCTCGAAGTACACCAGCGCATTCACTCAAGAGAACAACTGTGTTACTGTTCAGAGTGTGGAAAAAGTTTTACTACACAGAGTCATCTCCAAGCACACCAGCGCATTCATACAGGAGAGAAACCGTATCACTGCTTAGATTGTGGAAAGAGTTTTACTCAGAGTAGTACTCTTCAAGTACACCAGCGCATTCACACAGGTGAAAAACCCTATCATTGCTCAGAGTGTGGAAAGAGTTTTGGTAGAAAATCACATCTCCAAATACACCAGCGCTTTCACACAGGAGAGAAACCATTTTACTGTTCAGAGTGTGGAAAGAGCTTTACTTTACTGAGTCACCTCCAACGGCACCAGCTTATTCACACAGGAGTGAAACCCTATCACTGCTCAGAGTGTGGAAGGAGTTTTACTCAACAAAATAATCTCCTATCACACCAGCGCACTCACACAGGAGAGAAGCTGTATCATTGCTCAGAGTGTGAAAAGAGTTATACGGAAAAAGGTACCCTCAAGAAACACCAACGCATTCATACAGGAGAGAAACCATATCATTGTGCAGAGTGTGGACAAAGTTTTAGAGAAAGTCGTGCCCTCAAGAAACACCAACGTATTCATACAGGAGAAAAAACTAATCACTGCTCAGAGTGTGGGAAACGCTTCAGAAATTCCAAAACACATAAATGCATTAAGAGGTAAAAATGTGCATATCAAATTTAAAATGATTTTGATTAATTTTTTTAATATGCTTCTGAAGATCACAATTGTATTGTTTAATAAGTGTCTTTTCAATGTCACCTTGATTGGGAAGACTCTGTGTTGGTTGAATGAAGAGAAAATGTATATCTTTATGATTTGTATGTTTTTCTCTGCCCTGTGTAGAGAGGAGATTTGAGCACTGAAGAGACTTGGTCGATCTGTTACCGTCTTTGTAAGAAGGCATTTGTAAGTATTCGAAGTAAGCATTTCAAGTTTATTCTTAAGTATTCCTTTAATGTTACATAAGTTGAACAAAGTTTAAAGTGGTATTTAAATGTATTTTAAAGCTAGATTATTATTACATTTTGCCTTGAATATCAAATTTTGGTCACACTTTATTTGGATGGTCCCTTGTAGATGATCAACGGCTACTTAAATTATTAACAGCGGAAGATGGTTCCAGAGAGTGCCAGTCAACGTTTTAGGTTATGTAGAAGGAGACCTTTTTTTTATTAACTGTTGTGATGACAGAGGTCATGAAACAAGCTGGTACAACACATTAAGCCAGGAAGTGACTGTAGAGGTCTGCGAGGATAACGTATAGTCCAGTGCCTGAGTGTTGTATGTTAGACAAGATCAAAGCTGGCCACTTTCCTGATTTTCTTTAGTATACAGCTGACTTGATGTTTGCTAATTATAGAGGGTGGTGAGGAATATACCATGTGTGTTGTGTCCATGTTACCAGGCTGTGGGCAGGAAAAGAAAGATACAATTTTCTCAATCATAAAAGGTATTAATCTTGTTTGGGAGTGGGGGATTAGCAGCAACATTTGAGGCTTTGGCTTGTCATAAGTAATGCGCTGGAGTCCCATACAGGTGAGGGAATTCTATTTGAATTTTTCATCTTTGACTGCCTTGTTAAGGGCATACTTGGCCTTTTGTGTGCAGCAGTGTCACCATTTCTGTAGACCTATTCCTTGCATTTCTTCAGGAGCTACCTCATCCAGAGTAGACTAGAAGATATGTTCAGCTTGTCTATCATTTATTTGAGCTGTGATCTATCATATGGCACACTGCTCAGTGGATTTCAGTTCAGAAGATTATCTAAGACTCTAACACTGTATATGGTGAAAGAATCAAAGCTCAAATTTAGGTTTATGGTATAATTAAACTAGTGGATGCGACCTAAAACATGCTGAAAAACACCAACAGAGTATAATATTGATATAACGCTGCCCTTAAAGGATCACTTTCCATCTCCATATGAATGTCAGTCATCTACGATTACAGCTTTGTGCAGGCTGGAAAGAAACTCTAAAAATTCTTTTAGAAACTGCAAGCTGGCCAAGGTTATTTTTGTATTGTAACCAATACACATGCATTTTCTATTTAAAACTAAAAGTTCAAAAGACCTGAACTGGTACAAAGTTTTTCAGTGATGCCAAATTTCACATCATAGATGGTAGCAACACCTCCATCTCATCCATGAGCATTATGAGTGAAGTGGACCTGAAATAAGGTAGACTTGCCACAGTCGTGTAGATATTTAAGAAGATTAAAGAGTAAACTCCTTTTCCTGTATTTCTGATGTTTGACCATGAATGTCATTACATGAATCATCTACAAGTAGAGGAAATTTGAAGCCACTGCCAGCATGTTCAGGCCAACCAGCCTCTGGAAATTTAACCCAAGAGCAGACCATACGATGCTAAAAGTATTCAAGAACTCCAAAATTTCATCACAGGATCTGCAAGTAGTTTTGCCACTGTGGATGTTGGAGTACATGCATTTACCATTAGAACGAGACTGCACAAATTTGACGTACATAGGAGGCGCACCAGGAGGAACCATTTGCTTTCTTAAAAAGACACAGGGTCTATGACTAGACTATGAATTCTCTTTCAGGAGAGTGCTTGAGAAGAACGTGACTGTCTGTTATAAGATGCCCGCTTTAAAGTCAGTTTGTCAAATGTTCTGTCCTGCTAGAGCTGCCCTAGCCAACTGTGGACTTATTGTACCTGTGGACTGGATGACAAGAAGCAACAGTAGCTCAAGATCACAGAATGAAACCACTCAGTGCTAAAGCGTGTAGACTGAGCACTTGGGCAACTGTAATGGCAAAACATATTAAAGTCCAAATTGATGTTTTTAGAATAAGATCTGGATGTTCACATATTGTTAACTATGTATTGAAGATTGGGGGATGTTAAGGCAATACACCCAGTACAGTCAGGAGCAAGTTAGGAAGCAAATGATCCTCAGTTGGCTGTCACTGAAGGATGAAGACACGTCATTCACACTTACTCTCTGAAGGTTCATGATGTTTCACTGATGGTTTATTACGTACCTTCTCAAAGCTCAATGTTGGCAGTTTTTTATGACATTATTATGTTTGTGACATCTGCTGTATATTTGTGACTATGCTGTTAAATCTCTTTCTTTTTCTCTGTTTTGCTATTTTAGGTGCTTCTGTGTTATGTATGAATTTACAGCCTGTGCGGTCCTCTTGATTTCATCACATTGGTCTTGACCCGGTGTTGATGGGGAGAGCAAAAGAGAAGAATTAGTAAAGCAACAAGTTACTGGGTGTTAGTGCTAGAAACCTCTTCCCAGTGGCCTTCACATGTGTTGATTATGAAATACTTTTACTGTCTACTTCAACTATGGTACATGAGGTGGAATATGAGACTTGAAACTGTTTTCTTTGGAATTTGTCTTTGTTTATTGTTGTGGAGTTAGGAATGGTTTTGGATTTTTGGTTTATTTTGTTTATTTGAAAGCTAAGTTAGGTCATTTATGGAGGAAAGTTTGTGTTTGCTTTGGGTTATCTGCCAAATACCGATACTGGGCATGCCTTGACACTATAGAATCATGCTTGCTGTGACCATAAAGTAGACAATACACAATATCAATAAACCTGTCTTTCATTGTGTGTTAACCAGGAGTAGGACTAGTTTTCCTTTGAGGGGTTTAACTGCTTGCCAGTGCTATTTAATATTTGTCATACTACCTTCGTTCAGTTTGTTTATCTTTTATGAGCTGTTGTCTTTCTTTGTGTATGTCTTGCATTGCATTTTTATTACCAATTGCTTTACTATTAAATTTGAATGTATTACCCATTGTGTGCATGTCTTGTCTCACATGTACTTTACTAAATTTGAATGAATTTGTTCACTGTTTGTGTTGACCATCAAGTGTATTTCATTCTGAGACTACTTCATCCTGTTGGCCATCATGTCAGTATTTAGGCATTTAGCAGAATCTTTTTATGTCACCTCAACGTTGCTAGAACAATCCTCTAATTTCTACACTGCTTTAAATTAAAGATTTTCTTTAATGTTTTGACTGATAGGATTGATGGCAAAACTAGCATCATGTAGTAATGAGGTGTAACATTAGGTGTCTGGGCCATAGGTCGGGTCTGACACACACCATCTCACCCATAAAAGCATAAAAAAATAAACAGAAAGCCCAACAGCACGTGCCCAAACACCACTACACAGCACCAGTAGGTAACCCAAGTTGAAATTGGTAGCAACAACACTTACATAAAAATAAGAAGTTAATTTTAAAAACGAATAATGTTCCTCAAAAGAGAACTTTAGAACTATTTAGTAAGACAGTAACATTTGTCCTGCTGCAGCTTTGAGATGAGCACAGTGAAATTACATTAAGCATAAAAGCAGACAATAGCTTTAAAATATTAATGTGTTTCCAAGTGATGGTAAATGTGAGGTACTTCAGAATGTCTTTCCTTTAGCTTTTAACTGAAATTGAAAATACTAATATAAAATTGTGAAAGTCCTCATGAGTCAGTCTACCCATAATAACTATTATAGAAACAGTACATAAGAACAAGCCTTTCTCCATAAGAACCACAGGCTCTTTCAAGTGCCTTACATGTGCAGCGCCTGGGCTGATGCATGCAACTTTTCCTTCAAGATGATCTAGTAATCTGCTACATTCATCTTGCCAATAATTCAGATCTAGCTCCATGCTTCATATTGGGGATGGTTTTATTTCTCTTCATGGCTCTTGTTGTCTGCTCTGTAAACATAATGTGTATGGTTAGGACCATGAAGTCTCATTAAACTACTTTTATTCTGGAGGTCTTGAGGTTTCTAGATGCTGTTTGTCGTGCTGCGAACAGGGTGTTTTTTGTACAGGCACAAAATGTCTTTTTTCTGGGTAAGTCTACCATACAGTCCCAAATTCTGTTTGAGTATCTTCTTATTTTACGTTCTGAAACAGCTACACCTTGGAGAATTTTTCTGGGTAGATGTTTCAGAAATCTTTCTTGGTCTGTCTGATCTTGACTTGGTATCCACTGAACAGCTAGTGTCCCACTTCTTTCTCAGTCTTTAAATACTGCTGAAACACATTTTCACAACTTTTCATAACCTCTTCCTTTTTTCTCACAGATCCTATGACAGATTTTTGCATTCCTCATCGTTGGTATGCTGCAAATTTACTGCTGGCAGACACGAGAGTTATCACACAGGTTCAGCTTCTTCACCTTCACAGTGATCTCAGCGTACCTGAGAGGGTATTTACAGGCCCAACATACAATGTAAACTTTATACACAATAAAAATTTATGGACACTTCTGACTGTAATTTCAGTGGTTATTATAGTTAATACCTGTACATTTCAGGTATTTAGAATCAGCCACTGGTCACCTGTTAAACCATTAGGATCCTTTACACTGTGATATCAACCTTTAAAAAAGACAAAACACATTACAAAACCATCAAGAACCAACAGAAACACTTAAAAGTTTCTATGTTATCTTACCTGGT